ACAGGTGGGGCATGTTGACACATGGTAAATGGTTCAACGCCACTGCAACGCACTTCAAGAGAATCTGTGAACACAATTAGAACAAAAGTTACCATATGTGAAAAAAAGACTGTGTACATCATCAGCAGATAATATTACTCAAGTAGAAGTACAAAGTGGTGGTCACTAAAAATATTGTGGAATGTCAGTGTAATTACTGGAGTAAAAAAACAAGTACTTGTAAGTGTAAGTATTGTCAAAGGATAGAACCAAGAATGAGACAAACCACAAATTAATATTGTCAACATAAAGCGTTTGTCACTAGATTTACTCATAGTGGGAAAAGGAACTACAACTTTTACTCAAGTACTAATATCGTTACTTCAATAAAAAATATTTCTCAATAGGTGTAAACATATCCTGCCAGAAAAGTACAATTTCTTTAAAAAAGTTACTCAATTAATGTAACTGAGTAGTACCCACCTCTGCCCAAAACCACACTCCAACCCAACAGAAGAAAGTCTGACTAAAGCTAATCTACCAAGTGACCAGCAGAGGTCTCACTTTTGTTATTTTTACCTCTTCTGCTCAGTGACTTCTGAGGAGAAACCACATTCACAGCTCATTTGTTTTGCAAAGTGGGGTTTAAGCCTTGGGGGAAAAAACAAAATCTGTTCAAGTGAAACCAAACCTCCAACTACAACGACACTAATGGGTTTCAATGTTTTTTGAAGTTAAATTATTCGCAAACTGGTAACACATACAAAGTATCTCTGTGACTTGATCATGTATCTGACCCAAACTGCAGAAGACAACAGATGCCCAAAAACAGTCTTTATAGAGAAAGACACTGCAGTAGTGTGTACATTTGTACTCTAAAACCACATGAATAAACAACAACAACAGGTAAAATGATGAAATGATGTTGATGATGAAAACACCACTGATGAATCATCTAAGGCTTGTGGTCCTGAACTTCTGTTTAAGAAGTTTGCAAGTTGTGATTAAAGCAGCCCATGGCCATGCAGCTGATTTCCCTGTCACTTTCCAGTCAAACGAGGCCTGAACTGCTCAACAACTGCTGCTCTTCACATGCAAATCCTGCCCCAAAACTAGACCAGTATCTGGGCCACTCTCACACCTGTGCCTGCAGGCACCGGCAGGCTACAACAGTCACCATGCTCCTCAACCTGCCCGTCTGTCACTGAACCAACCTTCCATTATACTTTCACACAGAGCAGCCACGATGGGTACACAAACCAGGCAATTACCTGGGGCCCCAGGCTGTAAAAGCACAAATCACACCATTTTTACTTTTCTCTTAAAATCTTGTAGGCTTATACAAGGGGCCCCGGACAACCTCTTGCCTCGGGCCCTCATGGTACCTATAGACAGCTCTGCATTACCCTGCTTTTATTTATTAACACTTTACAAGCACAACCAAAATAAGGGCTGTTATTTGTGGCAATATGTTTCATTGATGCCACAGCCACAGACCTAAAACCTGTAACCAGCATTAACCTAGACCAGGGGTGTCAAACTCAAATTCACAGAGGCCAAAATTAAAACTGGGACTAAGTCGTGGGCCAAACCAAATATTTATTGAAATATTTCAACAACATCTGCAATTAAATAAATGTTTAATAATAGTTTTGCTTAAATATTGAATCCAGAACAAGCAGAATATAAAATAATAACATTTTAAATAAATGTCTCTATAGCTCTTTGATATATTTGATATGATCTCACAGGGCAAATATAATTATATCATGGGCCAAATTTGGCCCCCGGGGCTGAGTTTGGCGTGTCTGGCCTGGGCCTATAGAACAGTGGTTCTGAAACACCGGTGGTGCGTGCTATGGGCTATATGTATATATGAACTCAATACTTGGTTTCCTTTTGCCTGAATCACTGCTTCATTGCAGCGTGGCTTGGAGATCACCCTGTGGCACTGCTCACATGTAATCACAGACTGTATATATAAATGGACATGGCTAACACACTACGTTCCAAACCACCATGTTCCAAATAGGAAGTTGACATGGGGGCGCTTCCGGCTCCTACTGACCCTGGCTTCCATTCACTTACTCACATTGGAAAATTGTGTTGTATAGTGGCCTCTCTCTCTGTAACTGTTGCTGTCATTTTGGTCTTAAAATGTTCGTATTAATTTGCTCTATATGGTCATGAGTCTGATGTTTTTATTTTTATATTTTTTTTCTGTTAAAAAAATCCTATTCATAATATAGGGCCTGGCTCCAAATTCACTCCTGTAACCATCATGAGCTTCATTTGAGTGGAGCTGAACTCTGTGAGATTACTCCACTTCTTTATACAGTGTACATGTGTAATGGAAGCCCAGGGTGCATAGATAGAGGCCTTCAGGTCATCTGCATTGCTGGGTCTGGTGTCTCTCATCTTCCTCTTGACAATATCACACAGATTCTCTGGTTCAGGTCTGGTGAGTTTACAGGCCAATCAAGCACAGTAACACCACGATCAGTGAATCATCTTTTGGTACCTTTGGCTGTGTGGGCAGGTGTCACATCCTGCTGGAAAATGAAATCAGCATCTCCATAAAGCTTGTCGGCAGAAGGAAGCATGAAGTGCTCTAAAATGTCCCGGTAGATGGCTGCATTTCTCTCCAGCGACTAGGTCAGGAATCAGAATACACTAGATGGTTTGCAAGAACCTCAGATGTTGTAGACCATATACATCACTAATCAATGAAGACATGTGAAGCCAGAAATGAGTTGGACACCACTGAGCGTTCTGGCACATTACATACGTCATGACCAAATAGCAGTGATTGGTTCAATTAAAAAAGTACCCGCCTACTGTTGAGTGAATGAATCTTAATGCTGCAAGGTCAGACGGTTTCCACGAAGTGAAACCGGCTGATGAATCAGGCAAAGCTGCATTGACCGTGGACTTCAGAAAATACAGTGGACCAACAGCAGCAGATGACAGGGCAGTTCAGATCATCACTGACTGGAAACTTCACCAACAAACTCCACTCTTCCTCCAGACACTGGGACCTTCATTTCCAAAAGACATGGAAAATGTACTTTGATCTGAAAAGAACTTTGGACCACTGAGCAACAGTCCAGTTCTTTTCCACTGCCCAGGTCAGACACTCCTGACATCGTCTTATGTCTCATACAGTCTTCATCTGTGTGTAGGGGCCCCAGCCTCAGTCCACTCCCTGTGACGCTCCCCAAATTCTTGAGTGGATATTGTTTTGTTGACAATAAGCTCTATTCCAGGGCATCCCCAGGTTTGACTATTCCAAGAGTTTCTTAAGACCTTTTTAAGACCATGCAGATGAAAATTAAGACCAACACAGCACCCATTATGTGGGTAAAAAAAAACTGATCCAATTCTAATAATGACCAACCAACTACTTGTACTATATCTAGAATCTAAGAGCCACTGTGGATTAAAGCTACACTTCCCCATGACCCATCCAACGACTTCCTCCACTGTATTGATTGTTTACTCATTGCCTTCAGCTCTAGAAACCAAAGTATTTTTTGCTCATACTCAAAATTAGACGTTCATTCATGTTATGTGATTTCATTGCACTGCAGCCCGGTGGAGTCTACAAAAAAATGGGCTAATGAGTGAAAAAATAAGACTTGGACAACATAATTTAAGACTTTTTAAGGCCTTCATTTAGGATCATGAAATTTAAGACCTTTTAAGACCCCATGGCTACCCTGTATTCACGGTTACATCACAAACCAGAAACAAAATTGGAAACATGCAATGACAACTCTGTTCAAGTAAGTAAGTGTGACAAAAACATTTTCTTCATCTCCATGTCATTGTAGTGTTCTATTATGTTCGACTAATCAACAGTTCCAACCACACCTCAGTTTTCATCATTTCCCCACGGACGCACAACTCTGAGCACTCTGGGTACATGTGATTAGAAGAGATGAAATTCAAACAGATGATTCCAAACAGCACATACATATGCAGTCTTCATTTTATTATTTTTGCATCTATTCCTAACACACACGTTTTTTCCCCCACTCAAGTTTCTATGAATATACTTGAATACAGCACTCTGTGAACCACCAGATTCTTTAGCAGGTACCATTTGTGGCTTTCCCTTCTTGTCTTCAGGTAATCTGTCAAGTCAGTTCCCCATGTTTGTGTTGCCCACTGAACCAGTAAGCTGATTAGGGTGACACCATGACTTACCAATATTGAACTTTTCATGTATTTATATTATATTTATTTCCTGAACTATGTTCTAATTTTCTATGACAAAAAAAAAAGTTGGTATTTTATTACCTGTAAGCCATAATCATCAAAATGTCAATAAATAAAGGCTGGAAAGCTTCACTCTGTGTTTGAGTCCATATAATGTGGGTTTAACTGAAATCAGTGACAAAAATATTATATAAACGTTTTCTCGTTTTCTAATTTTTTTAGATGGTCTGTAGATTCAGTGTGGTAAAATTGGCTATAAATTCCAGACAGTCCTGGTTCTGACTGGTCGTGTTACCTGCTTTGATTTGTAGAAAGTGTTCTAGTTTTTTTTAGCTACCTTCTTACTTAATGAGCCAAATCTTCTCCGGTTTGAGGCTTCTACATTCTTCCATGTTGACAGACTTTGCTGTAGTCTGTTAATTACCCTAACTACACGTGTGAGTGGATTTTAGCTGTTTATACTTGCTCATTATTTATTAAATTCAGCTGCTACATCCATGTTCCAAACTGCAGCGGACTCCCGCCACCTCCTCCTCTGAGGACACAGGACTGAGGATAGAGGACAGAGGACACAGGACAGAGGACAGAGAGGACAGAGGACAGAGGACAGAGGACAGAGGTCGGGCTCGGGGGGTGGAGGAGCAGACACGGCTCCGTCACTCGTTATGGAAAGCAGCGGTGTCAGGTGAAGCTGGAGGCGGCCAAAAGAGGCGGCACTTGTCCTCCCTCTCCGTGTCCGTGTGACAGAGACTTCCACTGGCCGTGTCCCTGTGTGTCCGAACAGAGAACCGTGTGAGAGCCGTGTAAGAGCCGTGTGAGAGCCGTGTGAGAGCCGCACAGAGAGCCGTGTAAGAGCCGTGTAAGAGCCGTGTGAGAGCCGTGGACTCAGGTCTCGTGCACACAGGACAGATGGCGCGTGAATCCTCTCGGCGCTGCACGCTCGTGCCCCTCGCGCTGCTGCTCTTCGGGCTCGTGGCCATCCTGCTCCTCACGCTGCCCACGAGGGACGTGCCCGACGCGCCCGGATACATGGTGAGACCGGAGAGACCGGGAAGGGACCGACACCGGGGAGAGACCGGGGAGAGACCGGGGAGAGACCGGGGGAGACCGGGGGAGACCGGGGGGAGACCGGGGAGACTAGGGTGACAGGGGGGAGACCGGGAGGAGACAGACGGGACACACCGGGACTGAGGGAGGAGAGGATGGGAGCCGATCGATAAGACGACAGAACGTAGAGCCTGATATATTATTAATACACGGATCGAATCAGCCTCTCAAAGTAAAAAAAAAAAAAAAACTGAGCCAATATTTTTTGCAGAGGAATATATCACCTTGAAATACTAAATTCAAATATGCCATAACCTTAGTAAAAACATGGAGCAGGCTCTTCGTGATATTAATTAATACATAGATTTAGTAAATAAATAAATACATTTCCTTCTTAAGTTGCCTAGGCTGCAGCAATGTAGGCCAAACCACACTAATCATCTTACTGAAAGAAAGGTAACTGACACTTGACCTTAAAGAGTTTATCTTAACTCAAAAAAACAAAACAAAACAAACAAACAAACAAACAAAAAAAACCTGAAAATTAAATCACATCAATTATCAATTATCAGAAGTGCAGAACCTTGATTTATTTTATTGAAATGATGATGATTCAAAACCAGCAGGAACCATTTGTCGCCTTTTAATTTATTAAATAAATCTTATGCAAAATGAAAACGGCATGGAATATACCTTTGTGTGTAAAATCCCTCAATTGTCCTGGTAGAATCCAAGGCAAAAGGAGAAATTCAATTTGTCAACTGGACAAAAGTTTATTTGGTCAAATGTAAATTTTGTATATAATTCTTCCTTATTTGCTCACAATTTGTTTGCAGTTTCACTTGCAGCAACAGGAAATGAAATTGTGTCCTTATTGGTTTATATTAGTGTTAAAGGTCTCTCGTTCACGTCCACATGCACATGATGTCTGCACTTTCATTGTCAGTGTTGGATCTAGAACCTCGACACATGTGAGCAGAGCAGGGCAGGTGAGCATTACATCGCAGTACTTTCTTTTCTGTTCCCATCTGGTGTTGTATGTGTGTGATCCTCAGTGGTCCAGTAGGTTCATTGTGGTCCAGGATGTATATTCCGTGTATCATTCATTCCTTTTTTTTAATAAAACCAAAAATTAGAAAATGAAAAAAAAAAAAAAACTATTTTCTTCCTTATTTTTCTCCAAACCCAAAATGAAAAAACAAACAATGATTAGTTGGGTTTTTTTTTTTTCAGTTTTCGATTTTGTGTTTAAATGAATGATGGGAAAAACAGATAAACCAGGACTAAACTGGTCTCAGTTCTGGTCTGGTCCCAGTCTCAGTCCCGGTCTCAGTCCTGGTCTCAGTCCTGGTCTCAATCCTGGTCCAGTCTGGCATCGCAAAAAAATGAATCATTATCCATTTTTTCATTTTGGTTTTGGAGACAAATAATGAAGAAAATAGTTGTTTTTTTCATTTTCTTATTTTTGGTTTTATTTTGAAAAAACAAATGAACGAATGATACATGGAGTGCGTCTATGTGCTCTTCTACTTGTTGTGATACAGCTCAAGATCATTCTAAAGACATTCAGAAAAGGGTCATTTCTGCCCTGTGAATGTGACTTTTTTAGTATCAATACCTGCACAAATGAGTATCTAGTTGAAGTACTAGTTTAGTATCTGATTTTCTATACTTTTGACAACTCTGCTTTGTGTAAAAAATCCCAAATTGATGGCCTCCTTCACTTTGTCCAGTATACTTACTGTACGTCAGGCTAGTGCCCTTTTGTAAGCCCATGTTTTATATTCCGCTCAGGTTTGTCCCTCTTCCCCTGCTGTAGTTCTTGCATTCACAGGCTCATATCCCGTGGTTACGTAGTGAGCTTCAGTAGGGCACTAAACTGTGCGAGGGCCACATAAAGACCACACGCAGACTTAAGTGGACAGATGCATCATTAGAGCCTGTGTGAGCCGCTGGCAAAGCTCCAAGTGAGTGTTTAGCAGAGAGTAATGAGGACAGGCCCGTGAGGACTCTGGGACATGTGCTGGAGTGGTGCTTCTATCTACTTTTCATTTGGCACTGCACAATTCTGTCATGACACTTCAGCTCATTAGTATTATAGACTTATTTATTACTTATTCATTGAGCTGTTACAAATGTTGATGTACAGCATCTTTACCTTGGAGTATTGTCAAGATTAAAACACCACTAACAGGAATTTATGTTTTTGTGGAATGACCCAATTAACAGTAATTAGTGAATCAACTATGGGTGTGCAAAAATATTGAAATATAGATATACAGTAGCAATCAGTATCGCCAAGAGTATTTTTTGGTATATTTTACAAAATTATTTTATTACAGCACTACAGTTTTGTTGCTTGTTTAGAGGAAGGAAACTCGTTTATGCAACACATTTGGCATATTCACTGTTTTGATGTTTTAAATGTTTGTGTTTCGTGTGAACTTTGCACAAGAAGTGTTTTAACAAAGACTTTTAGTATCACAGTCTTAATTTAGCCATTATTTTTTATTGAACCGAATCAAATCGATTTGAAATATATCATATCGAATCGAATCGAAAGCTCACTGTATATGTATCGTATCATGGCCTATGTATCGAGGTATGTATTGTATCGGCAACTTCTTAGGCCCCATCCACACTAGTACGTATTTGAGTTGTTTTTGTTGTGGATGCAGTGTTCATCCAAGATAATCTGATGGAAAATGGCTCCACAGAGAGAACGATCTGGTGCCGCCAGCTCCCACGAATTCATCTGAGTACAGATCTGATCCGACACTGTGTGGATGCCTGAAAACACTGATACGCTGATGTAGGAGCTCTAGTCGCCATCCTTATCGGACCACGTCACTGTGACTTGCTCCTTCCTGATTTGCTGGGTTCATCGGCCATGTGATACTTTTGAGGAAAACAGTTTAAACAAACCGTAGACAGGAAAGGGGAAACAGCGCAGCTCAGGGGTGGGCAAACTAAGGCCCGGGGGCCATATACGTCCCTTAAATCTTTTTAATCTGGCCCGCCTAACTTGAATAATAATAATAATCATAATTTTTGGTGTTTTAAAAGTCTTTTAAATAAATAGTAAATACTGTGGGACTTTGTGGGATTTTTTGTTGTAATGCTTTGTAATGGGATATTTCAATAACATGTGATTTTTTTTTCTCTTATGGGGTGGAATGCCAAAAAACTAGCTCCTGGTCCAGCCTTTCTGTCAAATTTTAGAACCATTTGTGGCCCACAAGTCAAAAAGTTTGTCCACCCCTGGCGCAGCTAGACCTACTTGCTTGTAGAAAAGACTGTTTTCACGCTTGTCATCTTTCTCGGCTTGAAATGCTGCCTCTGCAACTTCAGACACTGTGCTCCACTTCCTTGTTTTTACCGTCCACATGACATCATGACGACATGACGTCAGCCTAGTCATGTGACCAACGTTTCAGGCGGTTTCACGTTACTGTGTGGGTAGAGAAGGCTTTGACTGCAGACACAGAAACAACGTGTCTGATACATTAATATGATGATCATTCAGTGTAAATGTAACCTTAATGATACCCAGCCCTAGAATCAACATCAGTTACCCATCAGTTTCTTAAAGAGTTGTCAAAAGTATCAAAAATACAAAATGATAGAAAATATTAAATCTAGTATTTAAACTAGATAGGCCTACTCATGTGACATAGACTAGTATACACCCATGGACCACTGTTACACACATGAGAATATAATAGAAAGTACTACCATTTAATCTTGAAAATCACATTCTAGTGTCTAAAGACATTTTTATTATCATTGTTCTAACAGAATTAGCATCGAGTATCGAGTCTGTTCCTTAATGTCTAAATTGTGTTTGAAATTGGCTTTGTGCCTCAACAATAATTCATATTCTCAAAGATTCCTATACCCTGCTCATATATTGTTGTGTATTATATTTTTATTGCAATGTATGTATTATTTTATTAATTTATATATATATATATATATATATATATATATATATATATATATATATATATATATATATATATATATATATATATATATATATATATATAAATAACTGGGTAGTGATTTACACCCTTAAATGGCAGTACTTTCTTTTCTATTCCCATGTGTCTTATATATGTGTAATCCTCAGTGGTCAGTAGGTTGTGTGTATACTAGTCTATGTGCTCTTATACTTGTTCTGATACAGCTCAACATCATTCTAAGGACATTTGATTCTAGTTTTAGTATCAATTAGCTCCTGATTTTCAATACTTTGACAACCCCAGTAGCAAACACTGCATGGAACTCGGTGATCAACATCTTTGAACTGTGCAAAGCCGCTCCTTATACAAATGTGTTGAAGCTCAACCTTTAACCTGCTTACTTTTACTTTTGGTAACAATAAAGATAACTATGTCATACTATATACTGTAGTATAGTACATGATACTACATCACGTACTGATTGATATTCATAGGCGATTAGTGTTCAGTTACATTTACTTTAGTAACTTTTCCAAGAAATTGTACTTTTCTAGAGACATACTATTACTTCTGGTTGAGCAATATTTGAAGTTTTATTGAAGTAAATGAATTTACTTGAGTAAAAGTGCTTCCTCTTCCCACTGTGAGTAAGTCTAAAATGACAAAAGCTTTATGTGTCAATATCAAACTAGAAAAGCACTCAGAGAGCGCAGACCTCCGCCAAGGACTACAGTCCCCCTCATATTAATTGTGTTTTCCATAAATATTTGTCTCGTATCTTTCAATTTGGAATATGAAAGAGGATCCCATTGTCCATCCCTGAGTCAAATTTCATGGGGTTTGGTCAATAATTAACCCAGATATTGAGAAACAAAATTTTTGGCCCCATTTACCACAATGTTAACTAAAATTTCAAAGTGATCCAGAATCCAGGATTTCTTCCGGATCACCCCCAAAAATGAAATCAGTTCTTCCTTTTCACATTTCCAACAAATCCTGAAAATTTCATCAAAATAGGTCCATAACTTTTTGAGTTATGTTGCTAACAGACAAACAAACAAACAAACAAACAAACGCCGGCAAAAACATAACCTCCTTGGCGGAGGTAATAATTTGAACATTTGTGTTTCTTGCAGCTCTTTCAGTGATGATTTAGTTTGTCTCTTTTTTGTGTAGGTCCTTTGAAAATAACAGATTTTATGTATTATTAATTTTTTTGTTCCTTCAAACTACATTAACTTCAATCAAATTAGATGTTATGTCCCAACAGTTACTCTTACGTACTTCTAGGACATACACTATGCGATTTTCGGCCCTTTTTGAGGCAATTTTTCACCCGTGCAACTGTTTTTGGGATCAGGCTGACTTTTAGCTTAATCATGTGTCATGCATCATGCTCCTGTAGCCAAATATTTGACTCATGTACAAGTACAAAGTAGTGGTCCAACAAATTATTCAGGTAAGAAAAGTAAAAAAAAAAAAAGCACTACTTAAGTAATGCTGAACATTTTTGATTGTTTCAGTGAGCGCAAACTGTACGACCAAACTGCAGGGTTTAAAAGTTCACAGCTCATGATTCATGCTCTCACATTATACAATCTGATGCTTGGTGTGAAACTCTCACGGGGCGACTGGATTTCAAACAGATTAAATATTCTTGTGACCTATGATTGCTAATCTGAAGCTGGTCGTGAGGTATTGATCAGTTCTGGTTATTCCATTCATACTGCATGATCGATGTAGCTAACATGACAGCCTCCACGTTCCAAAAAAAAAGTAACCATGGGCACAATTCTGGCTCCACCAACTCCAGATCCATTTCACTTTCTGTCCCCCCTCTCTGTACCCCCTGCTGTCTGGCTCATCATTTTGGTCTTAAAATGTTCATATTAACATACAAACTGAATAACAACAAATCAGATCAAATCACAGTGTGTATTACTCCTGATGCTCCTGACTACAGGAGCCATAATGCTGCAAGTGGAGCGGCTTTGTAGTTTACTAAAACGCCCCAATTAAATTCATATATAAGACGCTCTGGATTATAAGGCGCACAGTCGTTTTTTGATGAAATGAAAGGCTTTTAAGTACACCCTACAGTGCGGAAAATACTGTACTGGGGGTGTGCAAAAATATCAAAATATCATATCGTTTAATGTGATGAACCAATATCGATATCTGGGAATGCTGTATTGATATATCACCATTGAGTATTTGGTATATTTTACTAAATTATTTTGTTATGGCACTACAGTTTGGGTGTTTGCTTAGAGGAAGGAAACTCATTTATGCAACACATTTGTCATTTTTACTGTTTTGATGATAAAAAATGTTTGTGTTTCATATGAACTTTGCACAAGAAGTGGTTTAGAAAAGACTTTTAGTATCATAGCAATCATTTACCTATTATTTTTTACTGAATCAAATCAATTAGAAATATGTCGTATCGAACTGAAAGAGCACTGTATCGAGATATGTATCGTATCGTGGCCTATGTATCGAGATATGTATTTGTATTGAGGCTTTGCACCGTCACGTGTCCCCCATGGCAACGGTACCCACGCCGCCATGACACCGGGCACACTATGTCATTGACTTGAGCAGCATCGGAGAAACATGGGCAGGTTTTGTTGTGTATTTGGTTGTTCTAGACGCTCTGAAAGGGATAAAATTATTAGTTTCTTCACTGTTCCTCTGGAAATTACTCATCAGGAGCTCAAACAAGGGAATTATTGAATTATGAGAACATAAACCACGAAGAGATTTCCTGTGGTACCATCAAGACGCCCGAAGTTTCATCAAGGTATTTGCTATTTAAATTGTTTCATAGCTTATTTAATGAAAGAAGCACATTTACTAAACTAAATTTTCATAAATTTATCCAGGAAAACCTGCACTAGTTTAATTCAACAAACCCACACTGGGCTCCTATGATCAACATGGCGCACGAGTCTGTGAGCCGAACCTCGAAAGAATCGGCCATGAAAAGATCCTCGCGAACGTTAGAAAGATCCACTCACAAAAAGCGATTAATTCTAGAAGACATAGACACAGGCAATAAAGAAAACATGGGACCTACGATGAGTGACATGTTTATATGTGCGCTGGAAGATACAGTTTCTACTGCCACTCACACTGCAAATGTTTTCTTTTTAAATTTTAGTTCAGTAAATGTGCTTCTCATTAAATAAGCTATGAAACAATTTAAATAGCAAATACCTTGAGGAAAGTGACGTGAGTCTTGATGGTACCATTGGAAATCTCTTAGTGGTTTATGTTCTCTAGCCATAATTCCCGTCTTTTTTTTCGATAATTCCCTTGTTTGAGCTCCTGATGAGTCATTTCCAGAGGAACAGTGAAGAAACGGATCGTTTTATACCTTTCAGAGCGTCTAGAACAACCAAATACACAACAAAACCTGCCCATGTTTCTCCGATGTTGCTGTCAGTGACATATCGTGCCCGGTGTCATGGCGGCATAGGTACCGTTGCTATAGGGGTCACGTGACGGTGCAAAGCCTCTATTGGCAACATCTTAATGATACCCAGCCCTAATGATTACAATATTTTGAGATTTTTTGCCACACCCCTTTTTAGACTAAATGATCGGCAGGACATGTCTATAGCCGCCCAAGAATTTCTTTAGTCGACTACAGGCCTACTAAATGTCATCTTGTGGAATTTATGTCTCGTTCCCCCTGTAATATTCCATGTAGTTGTATTTTAGGAGCTGTCATTGTTACGTCCAGTGAGTGTGTGTGCTCTGTGTGTTGCAGTACGGGATCGTCCTGGATGCGGGCTCCTCCCACACTGCTCTCTTCGTGTACAAGTGGAGAGCAGACAAGCAGAACGGAACCGGCATCGTCACTCAGCACAGCGAGTGCCACGTCAAAGGTACACGCTTTTCTTACTTGGAGCACTCAGAGAAAATGTGGAAAAAATCTAGTACATGTTCTTAATATGTTTTTTGATAGAAATAATTAGCCCTTGGCTCTGCGGAAAACTCCATCAAATTCACATTCTATCTTGATTGAAGGGTCCATATTTACTGTTTTTTTTTTCCGGACAATAAGTTGCTACAGAGTATAAGTCGCACCAGCCAAAAAATGCATAATGAAATTTATTTTATAAAATCAGAGACCAGGAACTGACATTTCCTGTTGAAAGTCAAGTTCTAGTAATAACAACAGAAGAGAGAACAACAGACTGTTAACGTCACATATGAACAGTTCTTCAGATAAACTATAACATAAACAACAGAACAGAACAAGTTTAACAAACTCTCCATCTCACTCCAAATCACTAAATCCATTCAATTCTTCATCCTCTGTGTCACTTCTGAACTCCTCGACCTCCGGAGGTAAACAGCTTCCTCTTCTGTGTTGCTGTCGTCAGACTCAGCATCAGTTCCAGTTAGAATTATTCGGGTCTTTCTGAATCCCGACAGGATGGTTTCAGTGTCACTGAAGTCCAGACTTTGTCCATCCATCCAGTGAGTTCAGGAAAGTTGTATGATGCAGATATGTACCTTACATACCTGGAGCTCCAGGTCTGTATTTGCAGACATTTTAACATGGTTTAATCTAATCTTTGCTTAAATGAAGAGTGCAGCAATAACTAAAAAGACAGAGGGAACTACATAGACCATGATCCTTTGCTCCATTTCAGTGCAGACTACAAGAAAAAATTACAGTTCTAACACTTTTAAGTCTTCGTTCATTGGATTAAGTCTTGTCAAGGCATTTTAAGAGGAAAAAGTAGCATATTTTTGTTTTCCTCCACAAAATATCGCAGTAAATATTGTACTGTGAGATGTATATCATGAAAATATCGTACCGAGAGATTTGGATATTGTTACAAACCTAATCATGAGCCTCCCCACCATACCGTGAGCTTTCCCACAATATCACAATGAATATTGTACCATGAGGTTCATACTGTGACAATATCATATCATGACTTGGATATCGCTGCACCCCTAATACTAATATATTTCATCTTCTGTGATTTGCTAATTGCGTCCATTTAAATTCCTATTGCGTTTACCATAAAATCCGGACTATTAAACACACCTTAATATACGCCGCAACTAAATTTTAACAAAATATTTAATTGTACTTATACAGTATAGGACACACCACACATCAAGAATGTTTTCAAGTTGGGGTTGTCTGCTTTTATCACGTCTGAAAGCTTTTGTCGTGTTTTTGCACTGAGTCAGACGCTGCTATCGCCAACGTCTCACCATCGACTCACTGATGTCGAGCTCACGTGCAGCAGCTCTGTTTCCTTCTTCAACAGCCACATTAATCATCGTTAACTTAAAAGCTGCATCATCTGCTTTTCTTCATGTGTTTTCCATAAGCAGGGTGTGTGTATGAAGCACAAAATAACTGTTCAAAACACAATCAAACTAGAATCTTCCTCTGCGCATCATCCCCATCTTTTCCCGTGCTCTACTGCTCATGTCTCCTGCAGAAAGAGCCCCTGTTCTGTCTGTATCATGTCAGTGTCTTGTAGGATTTCAGATTTCAGACTCTCTCGGGAGCGGGGTTAGTTTTGTCAATCAGGTATGAGTGGATGTCCGGCTACTGAAGTTTGAGACGTTTCTTCTCGTCATTTACGCACACGGGCAAGACGTATCCAAATCACTAATATTCATTTAGCATCATAACTTATTTTATCCCACAGCAATAAACTATTTGAGTGTGCTGACAATATCTCAAGCTTTTGTATACAACTTCATGTGAACCCTAGATCCATGTGTAACTGCACAGACAGCACCGTTTTCTGCACTCAGGCTGCATGTATCCACTGTGTTGTCAAACCATAGACTGTACATATGAATGGACAATGTGCCAAACAAAGAATCTGTCCATATATTTGCCGCATCGTTTTATTGGCCGCAGGGTTCAAAGTGTGAGAAAAAAGTAGCGGCTTATAGTCCGGAATTTATGGTAATCTTGTAACCTTATAGTTTTCTTCCTCCTGTCATGTAGGCTTATTGTGTAACATTTGTCTGTCTAATCTCTAACAGTGAGTGAGTCAGACCCGCAGCTCTGTTCCACTGTTATGATCCACTGAGTCATCCACAACTTCTCTGTGAACTTTGACCTGTGCCTCAAGTGCACTCATTAAACATACACAGTCATGCCTTTACATACAAGTCAATAGTGTACTGCAGGGTGGGACTCAATGTAAATGCTGTGATCGATTATCCTTCTATTAAAAATGTACATTGAAACTATAAGAGTGGTTATAGGTACGTGTTTCTGTAAAATGTGTTTGAGATTACGTAGGTAAGAGTGATTTTTAATTACTGATCTATATTCTAATGTTGTTTCCTCATCACAAACAGATCTGGAGTTGTGTTTTGTTTCGTTCACACGTTTAACGCACAAACCCTGCACATTTAATCTGAGTTCTTCTCTCAAAATGTCATGTGGTAATACAGAAAGTGCTGCTTTGTGTTTTTAAACTCCATACACCTTCACTAGAATCATTTGGGTGATTTCAGCCCTGGACATCACAAGGTGGAAAAGAGCATTTTGAGCTTTGGAAATGTAGATATACGGATAATAAAAGGTTACTCACTCTTAGGGGTGTGCAAAAAATATTGAAATATCGATATATCGTATTGTTCAATGTGATGATACACTGGAAAAAACAATATCTAGCTAAATTAACATGACTTAAATTAGGAACGTTTTACTTTATTTAAGTCAATAAGTAATAAGTAAAATTTTCTACCAATGGAATAAATGTGTTTTTTTTTTATTCAAGCGACATTAGATTTTGTTTATTTATTTATTTTGTATGTATTTATTGGTTTATTTATTTCATTCATAAAGTATAAAAAGGCATTAACAGCGTCACAACATTAAACATACAAGAAATGAATGAAAAGAAGCAGAAAGAAAAGTCATCTTATGTTATCTGCCCTCACTTCCCTTTTCAAGACAATACACCAACACTGATAGTTACTTTATGTTTCTTATGTTAAGTGCAAAAAGTTGTTGTAGTAAGATGTATTTTCATATTTTAACTACAAAAAGTCTTGTTCCACTGGCAGATCATTTTACTTGTCAAGTGAAATTGACTCAAATCATGATAAAACTTTCTTAATTCAAGTAATTTTAACTTGGCTAGATGTTGTTTTTTTGCAGTGTCCAGTATCGATATAGGGTGCTGCTGTATCGATATATTCCACAAAAGGGACCCAGTCATGGCTTTACAGCTCACAGCTGATTGGCCGGTGCGCGGTCTTACAACCTCCGGGGTTCTTCCAAACCGTCTAGTGTATTCTGATTCCTGACCTAGTCACTGGAGAGAAATGAAATTGAAGACTAGGTGGTGCCAGTCTGGCTACACAAATTTATCTTTAAGGTGTGTTGTGTAACTTTTCTGGTTGGGGGTTCGTCATCTGTTTGTTTCTATGGATTCATCCTTCTTCCTGGAATGTTCCACAGTATGACATTAAAGAGCTCTACCTTACTTTTATTCAACTACAAGTGATTTTATCGCTCAAAAATACCTAAAAAAACAGGTATTCTGATTGTGAACGGGGTCGCCTCTCCACAGATCTGACCTGTATCTTGATCTGCTCTGGCCACTATGAAGATAGAAAGGTTTAATACCATACTGTGAAACATTTCAGATAAAACAATAACATCTCTCCACCAAAAAGTTACACAATGCACCTTTAAGTTAAAGATACAATCACAAATTCACTCTTCACTTGTAAAAAATACTACAAGTCATTCCATGTTTGTGTAAACCTACAGTCAAATAAAACTCTCTTATTTCCATTTCACCCATTAGTCTGTTCAAAAAGCACACACAAGAGATGGGCCAGCGCCAAAATATCATTATTGAATATACCAGATATTGATACTAGAACCGATATATGGCTCATCCCTAGTGCTGTCCTCTTTGTGCAGGTGGGGGCATCTCGAGTTACGCCGGGGAGAGTGGAGGAGCAGCTCGCAGTCTGGAGCTCTGTCTGGAGCAGGCTGTGAGGGATGTGCCCAGAGACAGACACGACTCCACCCCTGTGTACCTGGGGGCCACGGCGGGCATGAGGCTGCTCAAGTGAGTGTCAACTAACAACTACAATACTTATGGCTACGTTCAGACTGCAGCCTGAAGTGACCCAAATCCAATTTTTTGGCTTCTATGTGACCTGTATCTGATCTTTAATGACAGTCTGAACCACACAGATCTGATTTTTTCAAATGTGACCCAGGACACTTGGATATGTGCTCCTGAAACTGATACATATCTGATCTTTTGATATGTGACTTCAGTCTAAACGGCCAGAGTGCATTCATCCACCTACACGTTATCAACAAGCCACAAATGTCATTATTCTGCGCTGAAGTAGGCGAAAATTGTTAATGAACTCCGTGTCACTGAAGTGAAGCACATCACCACTCACCACTCTTGGCTCCGTCTCCACATCCACACGTTCCTTTCAACGGACGTTGTTGCCACTGCCCCACAAAACACCACGGCCAAAAACCTCGTCCTTCTCCTCCTTAAAACAAGTAAGTTGTTCATGTTCTGGCTCCGGTACGAGAGGAACTTTAAAAATCTCCAGATGCTCAATGCTGCGTCCATGTTTAGACAACTTCAGTAAACACAGAGCACGCTCACTGTGGTTGACGTCGTCGTGTCTCCAGTGCACATGCGGGACACTTTTGGGCCGTTTAATGTTCACACTGGAGATACACATACAAGTCACATTTAATTGAAAATGTGAACGACCTCGCAAAAACATCTGATTTCACACAAAAAATCGAGCGTTAAGCCCTGCAGTCTGAACTTAGCCACAGACCACAGCTGGAAACGTAACCTAGTATAAATGTAGTAAAGTACTGTTCTTAAGTACAAATTTTAGATATCTGTACTTGAGTACATTTGTAAGTGGATACTTTTTGCTTTGACTTCACTACGTTTGAGAGCAGGTATCTGTACTTTCTACTTTACTACATTGTTGAAGTGGACTGAAAAGTGACAGGATTTATTTATTTTTTTTATAGCTTGAGAGTTGCTGAAAGGCCTGAGGCTGAGTTCATCTCCAACAGAAAACATTTTGTGTTGGAGTGAATTGTTTTTTGTTTGAGAGAAGCCTAAATATGCAGGGTGTGTGGTGTTTGTACTCTTTCGAGGTTTAAAGGCAGGATGGGGTGCTCCCACACTCACACATCCTTGAGCTGCACATGAAAGAACACTAGCAGGATGATGGGAGTGGAGAGAAGAAGAGGAGTGTAGGGAGTACAGGCCCAATGATCATTAAAGCATGAGCATTCTCTTGACTGGTACGGGATTTAAACTAAGGTTACTGTGACATAGGAGTATGGCTAAAATAAGAACCACCTGTGAAAATGCATGTGATAGTCTTTACACTGGGGTTTAGGGAGTGACCGTTCAGACCAGAGAGAGACATTTTAGGTTTAAACCAACTGGACTTCAGCATTAGCAAAATGAGAGTCATGTGAGGCTCTTTCTGCTTTTCTGATTTCTGAATTTTCTTGAGAACCAAAATCTGCATTTTATTTATTATCAGTAAGAGCCATATTTGATATATTTGTCTGATAATCAGGATGTGCACATTAGCATTAGGGGTGCACCGATTCAGCTTTTTCAGTTCTTATTCCAATACTATCGCTTTAAGTATTTACAGATGCTACCTCCTATCAACTGATACCAAAGCAGAGACTGAAAACAATGTACATTTTAAGATTAGACAAAACTGATCCAGATGTGTTATGTAGCTGTTATTTATCCTGCAGGTAACCACAGAACAGCTTTGTACAAATCATAAAGTCTTGTGAACTTGAAACCGTGTTATAATGTTGTTGAAGGCCCTGACTGTGACCCATTGGCTGAGGTGTGAAGGTTTTGGTGCCAGCCTTATCAAGACGGGTTTTTTTGTTATTCATTTGATATTATTAAAAGTGTTTTACAATCCAATTAGTAGCTTTTAGAGCGTTAGTAACTCATAGAATGTAGTAGGATAATTGTTATAGTACTTAGTAGCATCTTTATGATTTATATTAATGTGATTTATATGACTTTGCTTTTGTAACATTGTATTGCAACAATGGACTGTGATAATATTGTGCACAGGAAGTTTGTAATATACAAATCATGTACAAGATGCATGCCCTGTGTACAGGATACTTGCACTTTGCTAGGTGGGCGTCTGGCCTGCAGAGTAAAGTATGCGGTTTTCGAAGCGTCCTTTATTAACTAGGTATAGGTGAGTGGCATAACATAATGCAATGTTGGTGGATATTTAATGCAATGTTTGATGCACTGTTAAGATTATGTGAATATTTGATGCAGTTTCAAGACTAGGTGAATTTTAGTGTAATGTTAAGGCTGTGTGGGAGGTAATGAGACGCAGGCCATACAGTTTTAACCTGGGATTTCAACAAATGTTGTTACCTCATCAAAAGCAAACCTGGAGTTGTGTTTTATTTAATTCATAATTGTTTCAGTAAATTAATTTTGCGAAAATAAGGCAGAACACCATCACAAATGTTGGATGTGTTCAAAACCCACATCTAAGTCTTTCTAAAACAGTCCGTTTAATGTTGGTGGGTGCTGTCATCTTTTTGGTATAATATGGTAAAGATGGCAGCAAATTTATTTTATTTCTTCTAGAGCGTTTATCACAAAGGGTCCATTATAAAATACAAAGTACACAGTGGCATGTGTGGGAAGGTGTATGTTCAATATCAAACCTCTGTCTTTGAACACTTTACACTTTCCACAGTCCTTCAAAGATGCCCTCAGATTTGAAGAGGAGAATTTTCAAGCAAATTTAAGCTCCCAGAAATCTGTGATAAATCAAAAGCACATGTGTAAAAGTCCAGATTCTACAAGTGCATTTATCAAATGAAGGGCTGAGCTTAAATAGTTTTTAGATGCAGCAATCTGAAAGTGGCTCCTCAGAAAACTGCTCAGAACAGGTCAGGGAAGAGTTGACAGAATATCTTTTTATTCCAAACCTATAAGCCTTGTGTGAGTGTGTGAACCTCCTAGAATTATTTCAGTCAAATCTGAGATGGTCGGGCTGAGGCATTTGGAGATTTGGCGTGGAATGACCCATAGATCAGAAAATAGTGTAATACTGAACCTTAAAACTTTTTTTTTTTTTTTTTTTTTTCTGGACCGCTACAACCCGTAAATATTCTTGTTACATCAATTTATGTCCAACCAATATGAGTTAAATCAATATTTGGAAGCCAATATCTGATCCAGCTATTTTTTTTCCACATTGGTGAAAGATATCAAGTATCAGTGTCACATCAGTGTATCCCTAATTAGCATGCTAGTTAAATGCCCAGAATGTATGAGGTAAGTGAGGAATAACTTTAGACCACTGCAAACTGTTTAAAATTAACTAGTTGTCTGTTTCCCGAAAAAAAATCAAGTACAGCCCCTTTAATATGTCATGATTATTTTCGGTCTTAACCCTTTTCTTTCATTGTTGTTCATCCTGTTGTCCCTCAGTATCTCCAGTCCTCAGCAGTCGTCCCGGATCCTGAAGGAGGTGGAGCAGAAGCTGAGGTCGTACCCCTTTGACTTCAGGGGGGCGGCCATTTTGAGCGGGGCAGAGGAGGGGGCGTACGGCTGGGTCACCGTCAACTACCTGCTGGAAAACTTCATCAAGGTACCTGCTCCGGGAGAGGACGGGCTGTTTACTGTCGCACGAGGACATCTAGTGGCACACACTGGATATGACAAAGACACTGTACTGATTAAAGATGTGTGATATGAATGACTTATCTTATCTTATTTAAACTTTATCTTAATGGGTGATATATTAAAAACTCAAAGAAACACAAGGCAACAGGCCAAATGCTGGTGGATTCCAGTTTGGATACAAATACTTCTTAATTACTCACATCTTAATCTTGGGAAGTGATGTAACAATAACCAAAATATCTCACAATATAATATAATCACTTTGTGGACTGTCACACTATATTGAATTACAAGTCCCTTTGCTTAAATGCTTTGTTTTATAGTAGCAACAGCACTGCACAGGGAAATATATAGAACATGATACATTTCATTTTCATTTATTTTCATGATCATTTATTTATATTTTGTGGCAGTGTTTATAAATATTTTTTGTTTGTTTGTTTGTGTTTTATCTTGGATTTGTCACTATATGGTGTCTTAAAACTTCACAAAATTAAAACAAAAAAAGGAACAATAACATGATACATTTCAATGTAGACATGAAGAACATGAAGAAATGTAATGATTTGCACCAAAGTCTTGTCAAGGTATTTTAAAAGCAAAAAGTGTCCCGTCTACATTTGTATTATCCTTCAATCCAATCCAACTTTATTTGTTTAGCACATTTTACCAACACAAAGTCTCCAAAGTGCTGCACAAAGTAGGCAAAATATAAATTAACATTAAAAACAATGAAAATACTAAAATTAGCAAATAAGTACGTAAGTAAGTATTTTATTTCTATGGCGCTTTTCACCGACATTTGCAACACAACACAGACGTGCAGAGAGATTTTCTATCTTATTTTGACTTGAACATTTACATTTAAATTTAAATAATTATGCCTTATTGCTACTTATTTAGAATTCATTATTACCATTTATATGTTTACTTTTTGTTATTATATTATGATGTGTGAGCTCCTGTGTCCAAGTCATTTCATTTTCAGAAGTCTGAAGCACAACCAGAAAGTTACATTACTAAACTTACACTAAACATTCTGAATAGAAATTATTACATACAGACGTTTAAAGTAAACTATGGAAAATATCTTGTAAAATTTCGTAGCCACTGACATGCTTCACCCTGAACCATGTGTTGTGTTTCAGTACAGTTTCGTGGGCCGTTGGCTGAGTCCGGGCAGGGGCACCGTGGGCGCTCTGGACTTCGGTGGAGCATCTACCCAGATCACTTTTGCCACAGAGGAGCAGGTGGAGGAGGAGGGGGACAGGGTCACACTCCAGCTCTACGGTCACCACTACACCCTGTACACACACAGCTACCTCTGCTACGGCCGCGACCAGGTGCTCAAGAGGATCCTCGCTCATCTGGTCAAGGTACAGACAATGAAGTCAATTGTTAAATGTTGCATTTGACAAAATTATAGTTTGGACATCGCTAGCATTCTGTTATTACAATTAAGACAAATCATATTGTTTGGATTATTACTATGATAGTATTTTTAATACTGTTGGAACACCTTTGTTTTGATATTTCACATAACTTAAAAATGTGTTCATTGTATGGAAAACTACTGACTGAAAACTATGATTGTGTGATGTCATTATAGATTAAAGCTGGTACATGAAATCATGCTTTAGACATACACTGGAGGGATGCACCAATATTGATACCAAGGGTATCAGGTATCTGCGCCAATATTGAACATTTGGATCGGATATCGGTTCAGCCGATATACCATTTCTGTCTATAAAATGATGTAAAAACTTACACTGGTCAATGTTGCCCCAAATTAGCCTCTTTTTTTTTTTAACTTGTATTTTAAAACAACTGTTCTTTAGTTACAGCTGAATTATTTTTATCATTTGCTGTTTGTATATAAAGGAAATAAATAAGTTTTCAGTAGGAGTGGGACGAGACACAATCAAGTCCATGAGAATGAGACGAGATGAGATTTTGAAATAATGTACACTATTGGACACATCGGATAAATTCACCATTTTGCTCACATGTCTTTAAATTAGTGTGTGTGTGTGTGTGTGTGTGTATATATATATATATATATATATATATATATATATATATATATATATGTGTGTCCGAATCAGTAGTGGAAGGAAATACTTATTTAACCCCCGTTTCTAATGAGATAGGTAGGCCTGTCTGCGTTTTTGTAGCTCGCTCCAATCCAGGAGCAGGAGGAGAGCGCAACACGCATATCATCCAGTCTGTTTCTGTGCTTTGTCTTCATTTTTGTGAGCACAGAAAATCCCAATTCACACATATATATGTAGTAGTGAAAGAAATAAGCATAGAAATACTGGCCCTACTGAGGACAGGATATTCTGACAACATGCTCATCCAGAATGACGATAAGGTCATAGATCCACCGACTCACTCACTCTCTCGTGTCAGAACTGTATATTGTAAATCTACATGCAGATCGTGACAAAGCAACCAAAAACAATCTCTTTTGACCCACATGAGGGTCGCAACCCCATCTTTGTTATAGTGTTTTTGCTATATCGGGTATCAGCAAATTCTTAAAGCTTTAGTATCAAAATGGAACTGAAAAAGCTGGATCAGTGCGTCCCTATTTCATATTACAAGTAAAGGAACTAAACAGTCATACAGGATACACTTGCTTGAGCTGTATTTTAGGGACTCTTACTTAGTAGTTGTGATTTGTTTTTTTCCAGACTCAGGGAACATCCGGGTCCATCACTCACCCGTGTTACCCCGCTGGACACAGTCAAAGGGTCTCTCTGCACACCATCTTCAGCTCTCCCTGCACCTCCACATCCAGACCAGCACCCTCTGACCCCCAGACGGACCCCGAGGCAGAGCTGAGCATCCGGGGCTCTGGGCACTACCAGCACTGCATGGGAAACATCTCTCAGATCTTCTCGTTCGACCAGTGCTCCTTCTCTCGCTGCTCGTTCGACGGGGTGTTCCAGCCCAACGTCAGCGGCAGTTTCATGGTCAGTGACACAGCGGGACATCTGACCAGTGGTGGATGAAGAACTCAACTTTGTTACTTAAGTAAAAGTACAGATACAGGGGCAAAAGAGTACTCTAGTAAAAGAATCACATGAAAAAATCAACTCAAGTGGAAGTATTGAAGTACATGTTTAAAATTGTACTTTAAGAGTAAAAATGTAGTGATTTTGAATTTAGCTTATTTTTAGTGATTCAACTGATTTCTTACATTTTCAAACAGTTTTTGTGTTTGGTTTGATAAAAGTTGGGACGTTAACTCAAATTAAATGTCCTAAAAATATGTTTCGGCCATTTCAGTAGGTCTCACACCGTAAACTTACTTACTTTTGAGACCAGATCTAAAGTGAAGTGGAGTAGAAAGTAGATACATATTTTCAAATGTAGTGAAGTAAAAGTAAAAATTATCTACTGTAAAACTTACTTAAGTAAAGTACATATACCTAAAAATTGTAGTTACCGTATTTTCCGGGCTATTAGACGAACTCATAAGCCTCCAACCCCATAAAAACGGAGGAACGAACCGAAAAAGCGAGTGCAATGTGCCACTTCTAGACACAACTGAACAACTGAGTCACTGCGAACACACCGACAATCCGTTGGTCCCAGACACACCCTCCCTACACGCCACAACTGAACAAAGCCCAGAGTCACCGTGAACGCCACAAACAAACAAAACCACTCACCCATCACACTGCTGTGTTTTGTTTAAAGTCCGGTGTGGGTTATTTGTGAAAAAAGTTTGAAAATAGACCATTTAATGACAGTGCGCCTTATAATCCAGAGTGCCCTATAGTATGGAAAATACAGTAAGTATTGTGCTTGTACTTTTGTACTTTGTTGCCTTCCACTACTGTGTCTGACCTCATGTTTTTGTGATTCTGCTCATGCCCGTCTACACACTGAGGTAGAACTACACAGAGGTGCTAGAGTAGACAAAAATGTTGATTATAAACTGAAAAAAAGGCTATTATTATATAACAATAATACTCATATAGACACACAGTAGTGGTCCAAGCAATTACTCAAGTAAGAGTAAAAGAATGAGAACTTCGCTCATCAGTCACTTGAGATGGGTGCGCTGGAGGAGAGGGAGCAGCCCAAGAACATGGAGAAAAATCCCGCACACCGTCTTACTTGCAAATTATGAGATTTATTAGGACAAACCGTGCGTCCTAATAAATCTCACGATTTGCAGGTAAGACAATGTGCGGGATTTTTCTCTAAAAACGTATTTGGGAAAACTACTTGAAAGTGCAGCTGTCAACATCACATTAATAATCAGAAGTTAATGTAACTGGACAGACGAAACATTTAATAATAATATACAAATCTGGTATTTTCAAAGAATAGACACCAAAATAAGACTAAATCAGATCTGAAAGAACTGCAAGAAACACAAAATGTTCAGATCATTTCATATTGTCACATAAAGCTTTTGTCATTTGTAGACTTTCTCACAGTAGGAAGAAGAAGCACAACTTTTACTCAAGAAAGAGTACTGTTACTTCAATAAGTAGGAGTAAAAGTATGCTGCTGGAAAAGTACTCTAAAAAGTACAATTTCACAGACCCTATGCTATAGTTTAAATTTCTATAAGTATATAACTAAACAGACTTAGTGAAATGCCTAACCGCTTGAAATAACTTTTATAGAACAAAATATCTTTCAAATATATGGACAGAGGTGGGTAGTCTTCAGTTACATTTGCTTCATTAACTTTTTAAATAAATTGTACTTTTGAGAGTACTTTAGAGAGTATTGATATTTTTATTGGAGTAACAGTACTCTTACTTTTTTGCTTTCTCTTCCTACTGTGAGTCTAAAGTGACAAAGATTTTATGTGACAATATGAAATGATTTGAACATTTGTGTTTCTTGCTGCTTCTTCACATATTTTAGTTTGTCTCATTTTTGTGTCTGTCCTTTGAAAATAACAGATTTTGTGACTTAATGTTTGGTATTAAACATTACATTCATTTCAAATTATAAATCAGAAAGTAACTTTTTCCCAAATATATTTTTACCCCTACTCTTGGGTGCCTATTTTGTACTTCTCCTCTACTCACCTCTGTGTTTGGACAAATAAAGGGCAACAGGCCAGCATTATTACTCACTCTATGTTATGTATTTCATGTACTGTACATTTTTCACATTCAAAGCTTTGATTATGACTCATTCACAGAAACATCCCTCACATTCACTCTTATGTAATACTAAAACATAGAAGGATGTACAGTAGATTATGTTCAGGATAATGAGAGTGGCATTTGTATTTGTTCTCTTTAGGCGTTCTCTGCTTTCTTCTACACTCACTCATTCCTGCAAAAAGTCACTGGTGTTACCATGACGACGCCTGCACAGCTGGAAGAAGCCGTCAAGACGATCTGTGGACTGAACTTTAATCAAGTATGCTCCTCCTCTGTAGTATTCATGTATTTACACAGCACTTTTTATTTTAATGTGGTTTTTAGGATTTTATTTCATGTTTTACAACTTAAAATGATGTTATGACCTCATAAATAGAACATGCTGCTTCTTGTTTGCTGCTTTTACCTGGCCACTTTAGGCGATCTATAGAATTTTCCTGAAACATATATAAATGTAATATTATTACATCGTCCTAATAGAGTCCTTTGTGTTTTTGTGTGTTCCAGCTGCTGGCCCTGGCCCCAGAGCAGAAGTCTCGTCTGCAGGATTACTGTGCCTCTGCTACATTCATGCAGGTGCTCCTGCTCCGAGGATACGGCTTTGATCAAACGTCATTTCCACAAGTTTCCTTCCAGAAGAAGGTACTTTCTGTCATTAATGAATATAAATATTATATTATTACCTCTAACTTTTGATTCGTGCTCTGACCAAGATCTTCAGCACTGCAGACGTGATCTGTTTTCAGTGTTAAACACACATGCTGTCTACTTTTCTCTAGCAGTGTTTTTCAGTCTTTATACACCAAGTACCACTACTCAGGTCAGAGATATCAGTCAGGTCAATGGTAACACTGGTCCAGACCTAAACTGGGAGTAAAACAGGTGTAAAGAGTGAATATGTTTCACCACTCTTCCAAGTAGCTTCTTTATATCTGACAGGATTCACTGAACTTCCCAAAGGTCTACAGTAGTTCTAAACAAGAACTGACCTAATGAACTCCAAAATAAGTTTGCATAATAGTTCTGAAGTGTGAACTCTCAGAAGAAGCACATGGCTGCAGTCATATCTTACAGACTACATAAAGAGTAGGCTGTTGTAAACTGGTGTTGTTGGTGGTGTGTGCAGGCGGGAGGCACATCGGTGGGCTGGGCTCTGGGCTACATGCTCACTCTGAGTAACCTGCTGCCCGCTGAGAGCCCGTCTCTGAGGAAGGCCTTGACGCCCGGGGCCTGGGGGACTCTTCTCTTCCTGGTGGTCCTGGTGCTGACTCTGGCTCTGGGCTGTGTGCTGGTGCGCGCCTGTCAGGGGAGGAAAGAGAGCAGCACCGAGAGCACCATCTGAGACACAGCACTGCATTGGAACGGACATTTTATATGAAAACAGATTGCACTAAAAACAAATGTACTATTTTTATATTTAGAATTTCCATTGCATTTGAACTAGAGTTTATACATGTTAAACTTTTTGAGACCAGAGACTCCTTACTGGTGTGAAAATATCCCAAGCACTCTATATAGTCCTCTGCACTGGCACTGCAATACAATTCAGAAGCTCAACCCTTATTTAGAACCAAATTGGGATGACAGACACATTTCTCATAGTCCTTCTTTTTTAGTGTACTTGTTTCCATCAAAAACATGTTTTTATGGTATTATATATCATAAGAAATTGTAGTATTTACATCATGATCAGTTGTTCATGTTTTATATAATATCTCATATTTATTGCTTTAAAATAGTTTTTTATGTACACTAACAAATGTGAAGAACCTGACCAACCCACTGTTATAGACTTTTTGTATGATTTTTTTATGAAGTTGTTACACATTGTTAGTTAAAACAGAAATAATATCTGTGTAAAAGAAACTTGTACTGAAGAAAATGAAATGAAATCAAAGCAGCAAAGCAGGTCTGTACCACTGACTGATCATGATGAATGTGCACTGGAAACAAAGTACATATGTGTTTACACAGGCCTACACAGTGAATCTGCTGAATAAAAAGAAGAATTGATGAATGAATTTCTGTTCCCCCTGAATGCTCTTTTTGAATCAAACCTGAAAGTACACAACTATGTGTTTTATCACTTAAGTTTTAGAGTTTTAGAGTTTACAGTGTGAATACTTCTTTCAATAGTTTTAACAAAACCTTAACTTTTCACTTTTACATACAGTCCATGACAAAAGTCTTTTCGCTTATCCATTTTGTAGAAACAAAAGCTTATAACCTGACTTTAAATTAATCGATTGGTTTTAGAAATGTCTCATATGAAGCTAAAACCCTCCCAAATTATGCTCAATATACTAAAATAAATTTGCTTCACTGAAGAAAGATTGATCATTTAATGAACACAGAAAGGTCAGATTTTGGCAAGACAAAAGTTTTGTCGCCTACAGAAAATTTAACAAATAATTTACTTCAAATACAAAAATATGTTGCATAACGTCAGTGAATGAAGAAGTGGTGCTGTGAGATCCAGATTTAATATCTTGTATGACTTCCATGAGCTTGAAGGACGCATCCATGCGGTTCAACAATGATTCATACAATTTGTTGATGAAGTCATCAGGAATAGCAAAGAAAGCGTCTTACATGCCTCCCAGAGTTCATCAAGATTCTTTGGTTTTGCCTTCCATGCTTCCTCTTTCATTCTACCCCAGACATGTTCAGTGATGTTCATGTCTGGTGACTGGGCTGGTCAGTCCTGGAGCACCTTGATCTTCTTCGCCTTCAGAAACTTTGATGTTGAGATAGAATTATGCAACGGAGCACCATCCTGCTGCAAAATTTGACCCCTTTTATGGTTGGGAATGTAAGAGGAGCTAATACTTCTTGATATTTTAGGTTATTGATATTTGCCTTCCACCCTGCAAATGTCTCGCACACCCCCATACAGGATGGAACCACAGACCAGGATTTTTCCACCACCAAACTTAACTGTTTTCTGGGTGAATCTTGGATCCATGTGGCTCCAGTAGGTCTCCTGCAATATTTGCAGCGGCTGTGATGTAATTTAACTGAAGATTCATCTGAGAAATCCACCTTCTGCCACTTTTCCAGTGTCCATCCTTTTATCAGGCTGTGGGTCTTGGCAAATGCCACACGGTTTTTTAATTGCCTTTTGTTTAGTGCTGGTTTCTGTGCACTGATTCGACCATGGAGGCCATTTCGAGACAGAATTCTACAAACTGTTGTGGTTGACACAGGGACTTGAGGTGACCAGGCCTGGTGGAGTCTGCTGCAGTGGAAAAGGGGCCTTGGATTTTCGAATCAACAAACGGTCCTCCCGAGCAGTTGTCTTGCGGGGTCTGCTGGACCTGGGCTTGTCAAAAACATCTCCAGTCATTTCAGATCTTTTTCTTATTCTTTGTACTTGACGCTGAGACACATTGAAGGTGTCACCACCTCAGCAGTGGATCTGGTCTTCAGCCTCTTGATAATTAAGGCTTTGGTCTCAGGGTGGATCTGAGGCATGTTGTCAGAGGTCAAGTTGCAGTTGATGTGAAGGTCTGGTGTGCTGGGCTTCTTTTTATACACACCCACTAATTGATTGATCAGTAACTGATCACAGGTGAGGCTGTAATCTAGGATTGGGTGCATCATATGACAAGGCGACAAGACTTTTGTCTTGCCAAAATCTGACCTTTCTGTGTTCATTAAATGATCAATCTTTCTTCAGTGAAGCAAATTTATTTTAGTTTATTGAGCATAATTTGGGAGGGTTTTAGCTTCATATGAGACATTTCTAAAACCAATCGATTAATTTAAAGTCAAGTTATAAGCTTTTGTTTCTACAAAATGGATAAGCGAAAAGACTTTTGTCAGGGACTGTATGTTAAAATGTGTTATATGGGTAAAGTGCATACTCTGAGTTTATGCATGGTCCCAGGAATGAAGAGTAGAGTCTCCACACTCAGAAAAAACAAATGCAAATTTACATTTTTTAAAAGTACAATAAAAGTTTGATGGGCCTTGATGAATGTGAAATTTCCAATGGGATCAACATTTTAGGGTTAATATTTATGATGATAAATCAAGTTATGTATAATAGAGTTTATTTATGTCTTTATTAAAGCGAGTCACATTAAAGGTCCACAAAACACAGAGTACAAAGTGATTGATTTGTGAGCTTCAAGCCATATTAGAATGTTGTTACATTCTCAAAAACAGACCTGGAGTTGTGTTGCTTTATTCACACATAACACAGTAACTCTGCATTATTAGGCTGTCTACAGGCTCACAACGCTCTGTTCCACCTTGTGATGTCATGGAATTGTATTTTCCAAGTTCACTGTGTGGTATTTTTCCAGTTAACAGCTCTACTTCCTTTTGACTTTCCTTCAGTAGAGACTGGCAACTTCAAGGCTGAAATTATTCAAATGGTCGTGGTGAAGATGTAGGTTTAAAAACACACTGGAGCATTTCCTGCATTGTTAAACATTTGTGAATGAAACAAAACACAACTATGTATGTTTGTGATGAGGAAACAGAAAATAGCGTAATAAGGGCTTTGTCTTAATAACTTTGTCTCAATAACCTTAAAATATATGAAAATCAAAAACATAAAATAAAAATAAATAGAAGTAAAATAAAAATAAATAACATAATATAAAAACAATTCCCGTTCCATGCTTTTATGTTGAAGGTCAGAATTCACCGGAAGTACTCATGTTGTTGCCGGAAGTGTCAGGTCCTGCGCCGCACGCTGAATGAAAGACCCCAATCTCGATCTCGTTGTTTATTGAAGTCTTAAAATTTCACTTTCCCCGTAAACCAAACACGGATCCGCTCCAAAACTGCCCGGTGCTTGTGTTGCTCGCCTGTCTGCTCGCTGCTTTTGTGGAGGGGCGTCTGGAGATGTGCACGCAGACCAAAGCAGCGGCTCTCATGGCCAACATCCCCCGGGCTGACATCGACCCGTCCGGGGTGTTCAAGTACGTGCTCATCCGGGTGCACAGCCGGGAGGAGGGCGACGACTCCGAGATCGACATCGTGAGGGGGTACGGCTGGGCAGAGTACCACGGTCAGTCTAATGAAGTACTACCAGTGTTGGGAAGGTTACTGTTCAAATGTATTCCCCTACAGATTACAGATTACATACCCCAAAATGTAGTTTGTAACGGAATCCATTAAATTACTTAAAGTGAGTAACGTAATCTGAATACTTTGGATTACTTGATTTGCTGTAGAGAAGCAAAGACGAGGAAATTGTAACATAAGATGTTTTGTCTGATAAAAGAAAATAAAAAGCCCAGACTTTACTGAACCAAATTAAAAATATTATTGATAGAAGAAGAGGAGACACGTCCGCGCAGTATGATTTAGTCCTGTTAAATCCTTTTTGAGACATAGTTTTGACCTGGTTTTAGACCTGGTTTTAGACCTGGTTTTAGACCTGGTTTAGACCTGGTTTAGACCTGATTTTAGACCTGGCTGAGTTCTGGTTTTAGAACTGGTTTAGTTTCCGGCAATGAGTGGAATTACCGGGGGGAAAAAAAAGGGATATAGCCCAAAATGTGAAAACAGGAAAATACCACCGTGTAATCCATTTATTTCAACCAAGTAACTGTAATCCAATTACCACTCACTGAAACAGTAACTGTACCCGAATATAGTTACTCATAATTTGTACTCTGATTACGTTACTCTTGTACATGTAATCTGTTACTCCCCAACACTGATTATAGCTTTCATAGTTTATTTAATGAGACAGGGACAGTACACAGTCTGCATTAAACTGGAGAGATGCTTTGTACCAGGTTGTAGCATCAAACGTGGTCTCTGGGCAGGTTAATTGCTTGTATTTTATTGACCTTAGATATCAACTGTTCTTCCTGGAGACCCGTGTAGCATGTTTTGGGCACATGATGTGATGCTACTACTCCAGGGTGACCAGACGTCCCTATTCCCCCGGGACAGTCCCAATTTTGAACCGTGTCCCAGATTTATGCAGAAAAAATGTTCCAGGTGTCCCTGTGTTGGACCAATCTGATCCCTGCCAACAAAGAGGGTACATACTAGGGGTGTGCAAATATCGGAATATCGATATATCGTATCGTTTAATGTGATGATACAGTATCGATATCATGGGCTGCTGTATCGATATATCACCAAGAGTGTTTTTTGGTAGATTTTACAAAATTATTTTGTTACAGAGCTACATTTTTGTTGCTTGTGGAGTGAAAGGAAACTCATTTATGCAACACATTTGACATTTTGACACTGTTTTGATGATTAAAATGTTTGTGTTTCATATGAACTTTGCACAAGAAGTGGTTTAACAAAGACTTTTAGTATCACAGCCACGATTTAGTCTTTATTTTTTATTGAACTGTATCAAATCGATTTGAAATATATCATATTGAATTGAAAGTGCACTGTATCAAGATATGTATCGTATCGTGGCCTGTGTGTCGAGGTATGTATCGTATGGGCATCTTCTTAATGATACCCAGCCCTAGTACATACTGTGGTTTCTTTAACAAAATATGATAAACTGTACCATAAGGCAAAAAAACGTACCACATGCAACAGAAGTCTCTCAGATTATGACCTACAAGTGAGTTGAAAAAGGACAATATTATCTGCTCTTTTCACAGTTTTATGTAGACAAAACTAAGGTGACCAGATGTCCCTATTTACCCGGGATAATTCCAGTTTTGAGCCCTGTGTCCCCTGTCCCAGCAGATTTATACAAAATTACTGATTTGTCTCAAGAAATGTCCCAGGTGTCCTTATTTTGGACCAGTTTGTTCCCTGCCAACAGTAAAAAGAGGCAAACATTGATATTTGTTTAGGTAAAATACAGAACAGCTGCTTAAAAATGACCAAAATTCAAAGAAAATGTGTCTATACTGACACATGTTAGATATGAATGGGCAGTTTTTCTTAATTACGCACTCGATTCACAATTTTATTATTACCAACTGCTCCAAACCAGGGGTGTCCAAGTTTTGAAGTCTGAAAATCCGGTCACCCTGTACTTCTCATACTGATGCATAAGAGCCCGTCTCACTGGTAACAGAATAGAATTTATTTGAAGACATGGGATTCATCCAAAGAAAAGTTGGTGCGTTTCCTTACTCTAGAATATACTACTATACTTGTTTCTATCATGCAGCCACACAACAAACTATGTCACTTTTTCTAGTATAGGGTCTGCCACCTGCTTCTCTCCATGAACTACATCCATTCATTCATGTTCTTTTTGAATAAATGCAAGAGGGGTGTTTAATACTAGTGTGTGTAAAGTTTCAGGCAAAGCAATGATGTTTCCAAGGAGATAAATCATGTGGCAGACCCTCTGGCACAAAAGAAGTGCAGCTTTAACTATCCTTTGTACAGTTACATTTTACAAATCTTTATGTCTGTGCATCATTCTAAACCCTAAAATATAAACTCAAAGATGTTTTAAGCCTAATGAGATCCCCCATGTTTCAGTTTTTTTCATTAGCTTTTGTCATGGATGTACAGAATCACAAAACTTTGAACCCCAGTGTGTGATGTCATATTATGAAACATCTTGTGATCATGTGTCTGATCCACAGCGGACATCTATGAGAAGGTGTCAGAGGAACTGGAGAAGGACAGTGTTCTGGACTGTGAGTGCATCGGAGGAGGACGCATCAGACATGAGCCAGAGGCCAAGAAGATCCACGTCTACGGATACTCCATGGTACAGAACTGAACCAAATATGACCACACAAGATATTATACAGTATATGAGCTTTATTTTTCTTTTTTTGTCTAGTAAAGAATGAATGCTTTAATTTATTATAGTTTCAATATTAGTTTTAGCACCGTATCTGACAGGTGCTCGTAATGAGGTGCCCCAGTGACATTTGCCGTGTTTACATGAGAGCTTTAATTTCAAATAAAAATTATTTAATTAAAAATAAAAATTAATTCCGCTTTTAAAAGACCATGTAAACACTTCTAATGAAAATGATGCGGAATTAAACTTAATTCTGAAGTAAGTGGGTGGTTTATTCTGATTTTAAAGCCAAATTAATTTCTTCCTCGATCATGTAAACGTTCAATCTTCTTAAAAATAAAGTTGTCAGTTCATGCTCGTTGTGTCGTCCTTCTGACGTGATCTGGACGATCCGGCTCCACCAGTCCAGTCTTTGGACTTTCATCCACGTCTCTTTGGATTTGTGAGCGGGATGTGGGAGTGGGTTGAGGTAGAGCAGCCTCACACTCAGTTTGTCTTCTTCCTCCTTCTCCGACACTCTTCCCTTCTCCTCTTCAGCTGACAGACGTAAAGTGTGATGAGACAATTCTCCAGCTGCTGCTCAATTATCATTGGAACCACTGCGGAAAAATGTTTTGATCGTTTGTGTCTGTGGCGTAACAACAGACTGAGATGACAGAAAAGCTGGTAGCAGCTCAAGCGTGTGTTTTCTTCCAGTCGATGTAAATACATTTGTGTCTCTGTCCAATCAGAACCTTCCCCACCCCCTGACATTGCTTAGAATTAAATAAAGGCGATTTAACTTGTTTTCCATGTAAACCTCACTTCGGAATTATTATTTCCATGTAAACTCGAAGGACAATATTTGAATTCTGAACTACTTAATTCAGAACAATTAATTTGGAATTAATAAACATCATGTAAACATGGCCAGTGATTGAAGGATGGGTAATATGCAGAACACATTTCTCTACAGGAATAATAAAGTGAAACCTTAACGGATACAGAGTGTGTTTGTGTTGCCAGTTTCAGTGCTGAAATTGAGATGGGTTCAGCATAAAATGTCTCTCTCTGATCTGAATGGTCACTACCTAAATCCCAGAACCTGTACCAATCCTAAATCAGTGCTAGTGCAGCCTCTGCAGCTCAAGGAGGGAATTCTGGAGGTTCTGAGCTTCACATGAGGCCTGAACCTAAACTGAGTGAGAATGAGACAAACTTGGATGTGTCTCTGTCTGCAGGTTAAGACTCTGGTGACATAGGTTCATTTGTGATTGTTGTACCTTCTTTAAAAGTGTAAGAGCACAGATGATATATACTTCCTCAACTTTATTTCTCATACAGCTGTACAGTTCAAACATGCCACAAGTAGCTCATACTGTTTTGTGTAAATTCATGTTTTGTTTTGTTTTTTTGACCTCAGGGATACGGCCGGGCGAACCACGCAGTCACCACAGAGAAATTAAAGGAGCGTTATCCTGACTACGAGGTCACCTGGTCCAACGAGGGATACTGAAGCCTGGAGGGGACAAAGTTCACAATGACTTCATACTTATCAACAGCACTCACATTTACAGCTGCTACAATAACAAAACTGAGCACTTGAAATGGAACTTTTAGTCAGAACACAAACTCTCTGTAAACGCAATAGCCTACATTTAGTTTGGATAAATATGAACATTATAGTTATTTACCTGGTGAAAGGTTAAGTAACTGAAGAACTGGAATAAAAATAAAAGTGCCACATCATTTTTCAAACCCATAAAAATTTCATAAAAAATAAGGTAGTTATTGACTAATAATTCATAACATTTATAATTGTTAAACAAAAACGTTTTAAAGGTTGGATGGAGGATTTTTGTTTTGTTTCATATTGTCAATAAAAGTTTAAAATACCCTTACAGAAATGCAGCAGCCTTGTAATTATGTTGATTAAAGAAAAAAGAATGAAAATCTGTCATCTGTGGACATAGTGAGGCCAGATAAACATCAGTCAATAGAAAACGAGGCTCCCTCTTTTTCTATTGGCTGTTAGGTTGTCAGTCAAACTCCCTACATTTTTAGTGTAACTGACTCGTCGGCGCTCGGGGATTATGTGGTTTATGCAGCGGTTCTTTGAGGCTTTTTCAAACTGTCGCTTCCTCGCAGTTCGCACAAAGTTTGTTGCGATGGCGGACGAGAATCCACGACCAGTTCGCCGCAAAGAAAATCTGAAGGGTCTAAAAACTGACGCGCCGGTCGCTAAAATATTTCTAGGCAGGTCACTTTAACAGTAATTCTGAACATGCACTGGATGTAAACAAATGTGATTTCTAGAGTAAAGAGGCAGGAGGAGGAGATGTTTCTACTGAGGAAGGTGGTGTCGCACATGCACAACATTTGAAAAAGGACGGTCGCTGTATTTCGCTTCCCTTAAAATATCCTCTATACAACCTTTAAGTCAATTTGTTATATATCATTGATTATGAGATAGAATTTACTTTAAAATGATTTGGAATATTTTTGTAATATTTCAGCAGTTACAACAGCTAAACTCATGTCAGTGCATCCTTGTATTTCTCAGCCTTGGACCTGATGGTGACTGAGCCTTTGACAAGAACCATTTTGTTGAGAAATTAAAATGTGTGTTCCTATAAACTAAAATCTTTCTGTCCTGTGAGTTTATTAGAGCGTCTTTTTGTAATTCTTCGAGTGTGTCTGGAGCTGAATGAGAATGTTTACGTGTGTTGCCTTTCCCGTCCACTTCTCAGGACTCCTTATTGACCACTTTAAAGCACATGGTAATAAAATGGTTGTATAAAATAGTACAGATGATGAGAGGACAAAGCCTCTACCACTTGACTCAGACTTTAGATGTGGAAAAGAGGAAATGTGTTCTTTCATTATGTCCATTTGAAGTATGTAGTGCAGTAATTGAGGCTACAAAAGGGGCATTCTAATCTTCTATTTCTCTAGGTCCCAGCTTGTTTTTCTTGAAGCCTCCCCTGTGAACTATTACTGTTTTATTAATATATGACTGTTTTATATGAAATTATCAGAATGATTATGAACAAGGCTTTATCTCAAACAGAGAAACAGCAGTTATGGTGTTTATTTTCCATACCCATTTCCAATCATTTGTTTGTGATTTTACTATTTAATTTGCTGTAATGATTTCTTTGATCACCCGACTCTCTCACCAGACAAAGCTCTGGGGACCCCATGCAATCTGGTATCCCTGCCCCCCATGTTTGGAACTGCTGTTCTATTTAGGACTGAGACTAAGGCCGGTACCTTTCACTGTAGTTCTTATAATTCACTTGTGGTGGCACTGCCTAATAACCTTAAACAGAGTGCTGGGCAATATGTCAATAAATAAATATCAGGATTTTCTTGGAGCCAAATCATGATTTTGATTTGATCACGGAGGTAACTAACTGTTTGAAAGTTACTGCTCCCTCAGAGCATTGCAGGCGGCAGTAGCTCGATTGGCGGTTTGAATCCCATTCTTGACATAAACATCATGGGTTGAGCGGTCAGATCCACTGACCCACAGGTTGGCTGGTGTGATTCCAGCTCCCACACATGATTGCTTTCGTTACGTCCTTGGACATGTTTTGTTTCGTTCGGATATATTTGAGTAACCCTGTATTATTAGTTATTAGTTACTGCTAGTTTTACCTTTAGTTCAGAAGAGATTGGCAATTCTAGGGTTGAAATTATCCATATGATTCTAGTGGTGTATGAAGTTGAAAAACACTGTGGTGGTTGCCAATGGTGGTTGCTATGGCAACTCATGACCATAGCAACCACGATGGCAACCACCATGACAATCACCATGACAACCACCATAAAAACACCATAGCAACCACCATGAGAATCACCATATCAGCAATAATAACAACCACCATAGCAACCACCATAGTAACCATGACAGCAACCGCCATAGCAAACACCATGACAAGCACCATAACAACCACTATAGCAACTACCAGGACAACCGGCATAACAACCACCATAGCAACCACCATAGCAAGCAACATAACAACCACCATGACACCCACCATAACCACCATAACAACCACCTTAACAACCACCAGGCAACCACCATAACAACCACCATAGCAACCACCATAGCAACGACCATGGCAACCACCATCACAAGCACCATAACTACCATAGCAACCACCATAACAAGCACCATGACACCCACCATAACAACCACCATAGCAACCACCACGACAACCACCATAACCACCATAGCAACTACCATGGCAACCACCATGACAACTATAACAGCCACCTCAGCAACCACCATTACAACCATCATGACACGCACCATAGCCACCATAACAACCACCATAAAAACCACCATAACGACCATAACAACCACCATAGCAACCACCATGAAAACCACCATAACGACCATAACAACCACCATAGCAACCACCATGAAAACCACCATAACGACCATAACAACCACCATAGCAACCACCATGACAACCACCATAACCACCATAGCAACCACCACAGCAACCGCCATGACAACCACCATAACAACCACCATAGCAACCACCATAAAAACCACCATAACGACCATAACAACCACCATAGCAACCACCATGACAACCACCATAACGACCATAACAACCACCATAGCAACCACCATAAAAACCACCATAACGACCATAACAACCACCATAGCAACCACCATGACAACCACCATAACCACCATAGCAACCACCACAGCAACCGCCATGACAACACCATAACAACCACCATAGCAACCACCATAGCAAGCAACATAACAACCACCATGACACCCACCATAACCACCATAACAACCACCAGACAACCACCATAACCACCATAACAACCACCATAGCAACCACCATAACCACCATAGCAACGACCATGGCAACCACCATCACAAGCACCATAACTACCATAGCAACCACCATAACAAGCACCATGACACCCACCATAACAACCACCATAGCAACCACCACGACAACCACCATAGCAACTACCATGGCAACCACCATGACAACTATAACAGCCACCTCAGCAACCACCATTACAACCATCATGACACGCACCATAGCCACCATAGCAACCACCATAAAAACCACCATAACGACCATAACAACCACCATAGCAACCACCATGAAAACCACCATAACGACCATAACAACCACCATAGCAACCACCATGAAAACCACCATAACGACCATAACAACCACCATAGCAACCACCATGACAACCACCATAACCACCATAGCAACCACCACAGCAACCGCCATGACAACCACCATAACCACCATAGCAACCACCATGACAACTATAACAAATACTATAGCAACCACCATGACAACCATCACAACCACACAACCACCACAGCAACCACCACTGAATGGATATTTGGCATGTCTTAAGTTGGGGGTAAGTCAATTTCTAGGTAAATTTGTGTGAAAATAAAAAAAGAAAACCCCTCCAGATTTTTTTATATGTTGTAGTAGACGCATAGGGCTACATTTTTTCTATTGGTGTCATTGAAGTCGAGCGTGTCCCTTATTGTCAATTTCAAGTTCAAAATATAGGTCAAAAGGTAATTCATCTCAAAAGAAATCGAATGCAGAAATAAATGGATTTGGATTTCTTCTGATTTTCCCTTTCCAGAGATTCCTTGGTTTTTGATAACGGACCAGTCGTTTCTGAGTAAATGCAATTTGAAATTCGGTGACCACTCAAAAAAGTGAAAACATGAAATTGCGATATATCGGAAACCATTGGTCCAATCAGGCTAAAATTTGAGATTTGGGCTTTCTTGGCTATGACTTATCCATACATCAATTTTAGTTGCAACTGGCCAATGTGAGGGTTCAAATTGCATTTTTTGTGTGGTGAATTGAGGTGGAATAGCCCAGAATTGTAAATATACAGGGTTTGTTGGCATGTTTTTGATGAGGAAACATTATAACATAGATCAGAAAGTACCATACTGCATTTATTTGATTGTCTTCTCGGGAATATGTGTCAACTGCATTTGACCCATGCTTCATTTCAGATGGGTCGACCTGTCAGGAGCAGTGCAGTACCCAAAGTCAACACCACCTGCTCTTCACAGAAACAGTCAGTATCTCTGCATTTCCACCATGCCCAGACACTTTTATAACATTTTGTATCTTCCTTCACCTCAGGTTTTATCACAGCACGTCTGCCCATACAGCTGTGAGGAAATGTCTTTATGGCTTATTACAGGTGCATTGTGGGTAAACCTAAAGTCCAGACCTTATCTCCAGAGACGCAGATCCTTCATGGAGGAGTGGAGCAAAGATGAGGGTTCACTTCAGTCTGCTGTTTACTCTGTGGGGTAAGACTCAATAGTACTACAGCTTTATGGAAATATGGAATGTATAAGGCAAATGCTGTGACATAATCTTGTAGCATGTCGTATTTTATTTTATATTTGAAAATGAACACATCTTTTACGTGTTCCTGCCCTCTGACCTGATTATTTGCGTGTAGTGTTGCGTCTCTATTGCAGTTATATTCAGGGGTAGAAAGTAGGTAATTCTAAAAATGTATTTACTTTAACTGTGCCCAATACCTACATCAATATTTAGTCCCAGAAAGATGATCAGATTCACTTAGACGTTGCTTTTTCTGTTCCGCGAATCTATAAAGAAGTTGGATGTAAATCATTTCAGTACAAGGTTTGAAAGAGAATTCCATCTAAATGTGCAGGGTTTGTGTGTTAAACATGTGGGAATGAAACAAAACACAACTCCAGGTCTGTTTGTGTTGAGGAAACTACATTCCTCTATAACATAAATCAGAAAATAGAGTAATATGTGCTCTTTAAAGGTCTGATATTACTGCAAATTGTGTCTCGTGAGCTTTTAGTCATGTTAAAATGCCGTTGCCTCCCCAAAAATATACACAAACATGGAGTTGAGTTGTGTTGTTTCATTCTCACATGTTTGAGCAACACTTTATTATTAGTCTGTCTACATCTCCAAAGCTCAAAATGCTCTGTTCCAGTTTGTGATATCATTTAGTGGTTGTTTTAGCTATTTTAGTGGGGCCCAAAGTGGTCCATACAACAAGCAAGAAAGAAAATGGAGTCTTAAATAACTTATTTATAAGATATTTATTTATGTTTCTTTATATTACAAGAATGTGTTGTTTTAACATATACATCTGAAGACAACACATTACATATGCACATTACATGCAGACTTTGGGAATGGCTGCTATAGAAAAACCTTCAGAATCCGTGGATCATTCATTCAACCATTTTTACCTCCGCCAAGGAGGTTATGTTTTTGCCGGTGTTTGTCTGTTTGTTTGTTTGTGTGTTTGTTTGTTTGTTTGTCTGTTAGCAACATAACTCAAAAAGTTATGGACCGATTTTGATGAAATTTTCAGGATTTGTTGGAAATGAAAAGGAAGAACTGATTTCATTTTGGGGGTGATCCGGACGAAATCCTGGATTCTGGATCACCAAAAATTTTGTTTCTCAATATCTTGGTTAATTATTGACCAAACCCCATGAAATTTGACTCAGGGATGGACCATGGGATCCTCTTTCATATTCCAAAGGCTGATCCGGATCTGATCCAGAAGACTGATTTTATCGCAATTTATATAAAAAATGGGGGTAGTCCTTGGCGGAGGTCTGCGCTCTCTGACTGCTTTTCTAGTTTCAAATTAAAACCAAAAGTAAGAAAACGAAAAAACAACAATTTTCTGCATTATTTGCCTTCAAAGCCAAAATGAAAAAAAGGGATAACAATTTGTTTTTTCAATTACTGATTTTGTGTTTAAACAAGTAATGGAAAAAAAAGGTTACCCGTTTTATCCAATTTTGACCATGGGTCTACAGTATAATGAAAACTGCAGATGCCAGACTTTTGCGCCGCATACGGACTGAACCAGGATTAAAGCAGGACTAAACCAGGACTGGACCAGGACTAATATTGGACTTGAGAAAGAGAGACAGGTCCCCGAGACCATGAAACAGAGTGTCCACAAAGCACGAGTCCTAATTCTGTCCTGGTTCAATTCTGATTTAGTCCTGTTTTAGTCCTGGCTCAGTCCTGTTTTAGTCCTAGCTCAGTCCTGGTTTAGTCCTCTTGGTTCATTCCTGGGATCATTCCTGTTTTAATCCTGGTTCAGTCCGTATTTTCATTATACACTAGATCCATGGTCAAAATGGTGCAGAGAGAACAACCTCTGTCTGAACCTTTCAAAAACAAAGGGGTTAATATTGGATTTTAGGAGGAACAGCTGTTCACTGTCGCCTCTCTACATCATGGGCACAGAAGTTGAAAGGGGACTAGGCCTCCCTGCTCTCATGTCTTTTTATCGATGTGGAGTGGAAAGTGTGTTGACCCAGTCCATCACAGTGTGGTACGGCCACTGCTCAGCCCAGGACAGGACAGATCTACAGCGTGAGGTCAGAGCAGCAGAGAAGATCACTGGATGTGACTTTACACCCATCAGTGACGTTTATGAGGAGCGTTGTAGAAGCCTCCAGGATCATGGGGGACCCTCGCACCCTCCCACCACCTGTTTGTTCCTCTGCGTCTGGGAGGAGACTGAGGAGCATTAAAGCTAGAACTTCTCAGCTGAAGTTCAGCTTCTTTCCTGAGGCTGTCAGACTTGTGAACAGTGCACACTCACTTCCTGCTTGGGTTGCCTCTCTCTCTATCGTGCCACGTTTTACTACTTGTTCACTGGACTGCTAAATGTTGTTGTTTTAAATGTATATTTTTTTAACATTGCTTATTTATTATTGTTTTTATCTCTTTCTGGATCACTGGGCCTCGGGGAGCACATTTCATTGTCATGTGTTTCTCTCGCATGTTTGAATGACAAATAAAGAACCTTGAACCTTGAACCTTGAAAATTCGATGAAACAGGAAACGGCTGTTATCCGTTTTTTTTGTTTTGTTTGTTTGTTTGTTTGTTTGTTTGTTTTTCCATTGCTCGTTTAAACACAAAATCAAAAATTTAAAAACGAATCGTTATCTGTTTTTTCATTTTGCTTTTGGAGACAAATAATAAAAATAGTTGTTTTTTGTTTTCTTATTTTTGCTTTTATTTTGAAAAAATGAATTAACGAATGATCCACGGATTCTTCAGTTGCTTTTATTTTTGAATATTTGAGTTTTACCTTTGGTTCAGCTGAAGATGCCATTGAAAGTCTCTAATATCTGCTGGTGCACTGAGGAGTGGAGCAGTTTGAATGGGGCTAAAACAATAGCTGTGGCTTCAAAGTTTAGAAAAAAACAACAACAAAAAACAGTGTGCATGAGGTTAGAGTAAATAAATCTTTGATGAGCAACTTTGAGTGTGCAAAAATGCCAACTCAGTGCTACTTTGAATTACTGGTTCTACACCTTCACAAATCCTGCAAAATGGACTTCTGATTTAGTTTAAAGGGTCCATATTACATATTGAAAACAACTGACAGCACATGTTTAGAAGAAAGTGTCAAATGGGAGAAGAAGTTGCATACATGTTTTATGAATTCTTTCCAAAAACACACACAGTCTGGGCAGGTCCAAAATAAGTGAGAGCTGGTTTCATGTTTCAGTTTGTGTCCATTGTTCTTCTAAGATGATTGTTTAGTGGAGAACAGTGATGTAGAAGTTTGTAGCAGATTTCTCTTTACTTGTTGGTGATGAGATATTTGTGAGGTCATGTCCGTACATTTTTCCATGGGATATTGTCAGTAGAGTCGGGGTGTCACAGTGCACGAGTAGGGCTCTGTTTGAGAGGTGCACTTGTGATGATAGTCACTCTTTTTCCGCTGTGACTCATTATAAGACAAGTTTAAGTGAAGATGAAGCTGAGTAAGTAACTTGTGAAAAGTTTTTTAAACTTTGGTGCAGCGTCTTCACTCACGCTGCTCAAGTCGTGTGGCCCTGTCCTGCCGCTTCCCCAGTTTAGGTTCCTGGCTCCACTAATGACATCACTCTGTTACAGCCAATGAAACAGCAGCAGGTGTAACCCTGTCGTCATATCACTGAATACATCTCAGAATGATTAATAAACAAAATGTGAACTAAAACATGTTCAATTAATACTACTGAGTTTGGAAAAAATATAAGAATAAACTTATATTTTTGTTTATTAAAATAAAATGGCAAATAATTGGTAGGAACTATTTTGTCTTCTCCAAATATTGGTTGTGACATGTCCCCACTGTCCCTATGCAAACCTACACTTTTGTTTCCTCATCACAAACAGACCTGCAGTTGTGTTTTGTTTCATTCACACATGTTTAACACACAAACTCTGCACATTTAGCCTGAGTTTTTTTCTCAAACTGAAAACACTCAGGCTACGTCCACTCGACAACGCTCCTGGATTTTTTTCTTTCCGGGTTGAAAAAAATTTGCGTCCACACGAGTCGGATCAGTAAATATTCATGTCCACACGACAACGGAGCAATGAGTGAAAATGAGGTAATACATCTGCCACACCTGTATGTGGCGCTGTTAACAATGATAATAATATTTAATAATGCAGATCTCATCACCATTTTTTAAACTTTAAGGCATCAATAGTGAGCTGTTTTTTTGAGCACTTTGTTTATGCAAATGAGCCATGTGGTTTTAAGTTTAATTTCCATAAAACGTAAACAGACATGATCAAAGCTGTGTGGATAGGGAAGGATTGAGGACACAGAAACGATGTGTCTGGACGCAGATTGTTTCTGATGATCCGTGTGTGGAATCTGTGGTGTGTGTTCTTAACATTAGCATTAGTCTTGGTTGTAGGGTGACAGGAGCGGCTCCGTAGGCTCCACCTGTCCCATTTTGACAACGTTCGTGTGGTCTGTGGAGGCTGGTTTGAGGGCTGTGGGCTTCGCTGCATTGGAGGATCCTGGCGATGACGAGCTCGTGATGTCATTGTTTTCCAAAAGCTGCAGTTTGCTTGACCACATGACAACACGACGCCGGCGTTCTCAAATTTCTCCACTCTGGAACCCGTTCTCCAAATAATCTGTTTTCGCCCACCCGAAATGCTGGCTCCATGTGGACAAAAGGCCAAAACAAATACAAACTCTTCCGTTTTGACCAAAAAACTTTGTCGTGTGGACGCCCCCTCAACATTCCACCTTGTGATGTCATGTGGTGATACTCCAACACCTTCACCAGAATCATTTGGACAATTTCAGTCCTGGAAATTGCCAATTTTCTCTACTGAACAGAGGGTAAATGTAGCTGTTCATTTTGAAAACTACTGCTTCATGACATCACAAGGTGGAACAGAACAGTTTGAGTTTTGGAGATGTAGACAGACTAATAATAAAGAGTTACTCAAACATGTGTGAATGAAACAAAACACAACTCCAGGTCTGTTTTTGATGAGATTGCAGCATTATAACATGGTTTAAAGATCACAAGACTCAATTTTGCTTAATATTGGACCTTTAATGTTATTGCTTTTTGTGGTCTCCATGGAGATTGATATATTCACTATCATACCAAGCAACATTCCAGAAAAGCAGTTACATCTCCAAGCAGCTGCTGTATCTGACATAGTTACATACATAAAATAGAAACTTATACTTTAGTACCTGCATGTGACCTTTGTGATAAGTTCTGATAAAAGATTTGAAATTACATCATATCCTGAGTTTTAAAAGACCTAACAATTAAGACTACAGCAATCACAACAGCTCAGGGAATTGGAATATGAGGTTGTCGGGTTGAAGCCTAACCTACAGGAAGTGGGAGCAGAGCAATAATCCGTGAGCAGTGTGCAGTGGTTTCCAGGTAAGCCGGTGACGCTGGCTGCCCTTTTGGACACATCCACATTCATATCTTTATTACTCTTAATGCAGTTCATACGCTGTTGTTCATCGAGGCTAATGCTTTGTTTTTGTTGTAATATTCTGAGCTGCTGTCTAGAAGTAATAATGTTGTCACGATACTAAAATTTAAGTTAATTTTGACAGTGTTGTTTGACAGATTACATGTACTGGAGTTACGTAATCAGAGTACAAATTATGAGTAAATGTATTCAGTTACAGTTACTGTTTCAGTGAGTGGTTATTGGATTACAGTTACTTTGTTGAAATAAATGGATTACACAAAGGTATTTTCCTGTTTTCACATTTGGGGCTATATCCCTTTTTTTTTTTTTTTTCTCGGTAATTCCACTCATTGCAAGACACTAAACCAGGAATAAACCAGGTCTAAACCAGGTCTAAACCAGGTCTAAACCAGGACTAAACCAGGTCTAAACCAGGTCTAAACCAGGACTAAACCAGGACTAAACCAGGTCTAAACCAGGACTAAACCAGGACTAAACTACAGGTCTAAACCAGGTCTAAACCAGGACTAAACCAGGACTAAACCAGGACTAAACCAGGTCTAAACCAGTCTAAACCAGGACTAAACCAGGTCTAAACCAGGACTAAACCAGGTCTAAACCAGGACTAAACCAGGTCTAAACCAGGTCTAAACCAGGTCTAAACCAGGACTAAACCAGGTCTAAACCAGGACTAAACCAGGTCTAAAACCAGGACTAAACCAGGTCTAAACCAGGTCTAAACCAGGTCTAAACCAGGACTAAACCAGGATTTAACAGGACTAAACCAGGTCTAAACTAGGTCTAAACCAGGATTTAACAGGACTAAACCAGGATTTAACAGGACTAAACCATGCTGCGTGGACCGTGTCTCCTCTTCTTCTATCAATAATATTTTTAATTTGGTTAAGTAAAGACTCGGCCTTTTCATTGTCTTTTAGCAGACAAAACATCTTATTTATCTAGATTTCCTGGTCTTTGGTTCTCTACCGCAAACCAAGTAATCCAAAGTATTCAGATTACATTACTCACTTTAAGTAATTTAATGGATTAAGTTACAAACTACATTTTGGTGTATGTAATCTGTAATCTGTAGGGGAATACATTTTAAAAGTCACCTTCCCAACACTGCATTTTGATACTAAGAAACAGACTCACTGCTCAGTACTGATTCAGATACCATAGGGCAGGGGTCTCTATCCTTTTTAATCCAGTAATTAAACAAAAATGCCAGTGGCTGGAAGAAGTTGAGACAATTATAAGAAAGAGGGCAAGTCTTCAGATACAGTTAGATGCCCATAAAACATAAACTACTGTCCAAAGTTAGGCTTCAAAATTATACATTTAATTTAGTAACAGGCATGTAACTAATCAAATATTTGTTATTCAGCACAATGGTATAATTCTGAAATCCTTTGGCGAGCTACTTGGAAGGGGCTGGAGAGCTACTGGTTGCTCCCAAGTTACAGGTTGGAGACTCCTGCCACAGGGTGATCAGATTTTCAAATTTCAAAACTGGGACGCACCTCGGTTTAGCTTGATTCATCAGCCGGTTTCACTTCATGGAAACTGTCTGACCTCGCAGCGTTAGGATTCGTTCGCTCGACGGTAGGCGGGTACTTTTTGAAAATTTAACCCAGGGGTATCAAACGCAAATTCACAGAGAGACAAAATTAAAAACTGGGACTAAGTTGTGGGCCAAACTAAATATTGACTGAAAATTTTCAACAATATCTGCTGTTTTCTCTTCTTTTGAGATATGTAAACCTTTATGTCTTTAAATAAATCTTTAATAATCATTTTGCTTAAACATTGAATCCAGAACAAGTATAACGCAAAATATAATAATAATAATAATAATAATAATAATAATAATAAATAATGTAAAGCAACTACACTTGCCAACTTCCTTCAATGAAAATCCAAACTTTCAACTATGAACAGTCAAAAATCATAAAGAAAACATTCCTCCGAGCTCAGTTTGCTGGACTGTGATTTACTCTGATGCACATGGGTCCAAAGCAAATACAAATACTTGGCATCTCTTCTTAGATACAAGTTCATCAAAGTAGTAGTATTAGCAGTAGTAGTAGTCTTAGTAGTAGTATATTAGCAGTGCCGGTGGGCCAGCTCTAATACATATTTGATATGATCTCACGGGTCTAATATAATTATATCACAGGCCAAATGTCTGAGTCTGAATGTCTGGTTTAGACAGTAGAATGTGATTTTCAACATTAAATCATAGTACTTTCTTTTCTATTCTTCTGTGTCCTTATTTTTGTGTAATCCTCAGTGTTCCAGTAGGTTCTATAGTGGTCCATGTGTGTGTACTAGTCTATGTGCTCTTCTACTTGTTGTGATGCAACTCAACATCATTCTAACAGTTCAGAAAAGCTTCATTTCCGTCCTGTCAATGGGATATTTTTAGAGTTGATACTTGCTCAGATGAGGATCTGGTTTTGATACTAGTTTTTGTATCGTTTAGTATCTGATTTTGAAATGTCGACTGTATGTTTTGTGTTGCAGTGGTTGTAGCAGGGGCCCAGTGCTGCCAGGCTCCAGAGAGGAAGTGTGACTTTGTGTGTGACTGCCCCGACTGTGAGGATGAGCTGGACTGTGGTGAGTACAACGCCAAGGCTAAACTGACAGAAGCACAAAGGTATAACACATAGTAATGCTAACTGAGTACTACCTGATAACAAATATAACTCTTATTCATGCATTAATAAATTGGGTTTTAAAAAAGTGGTATTTTGCTGTGGCAGCAGTGTAGTGGGTTCAGCATTTATGGAAGTAGTTCATGTAGTTAGTTAATTGAGTATGTGTGTACTTTTTACTTTTACTTAAGTACAAAGCAACATGATCCTTTTCCTGTTTTTCCTGCAGGTTACACAGGGGGGGAGCAGTTTGTGTGTGACTTCGAGCAGGGGCAGTGTGGCTGGACGGACGAGGCCCAGAACACACTGTACAAATGGGAGAGACGACAGAGAGGAGACGCCCTCACACACACCGGACCATCCTCAGACTTCACCACAGGAACAGCCACAGGTCACACATGTCACATACAGAGCACATGGCACACGTGTTCATCACACATCTTCATACACACATCTTCATACACACATGTTCATACACACATCTTCATACACACATGTTCATACACACATGTTTCATACACACATGTTCATACACATGTTCATACACACATCTTCATACACACATGTTCATACACACGTTCATACACACATCTTCATACACACATGTTCATACACACATGTTTATACACATGTTCATACACACATGTTCATCATACACATGTTTATACACACATGTTTCTCTGACATGGTAAACATGCACTGTGTCATTTTTCTACTGGAGATGGAGATGTTCTTGCTTCTTGCCTGGAATGTTCCACAATACTGGTTCATCAAAGCCTGATCTCGTCAGACCTCAGACCTCAGACCTGAGTGCCTGAGAGCCTGAGAGCCTAAGTGCTGGTGGTGGTCGGAGGGGCTGATGGTGCAGATTGGCAGCCTCATCAGTCTGCCCCAGGGCAGCTGTGGCTAATATAGTAACTACAACACTGAGTCTAGAGTGAATGAAGAATGCTCGGTAAAGCTGTGAGTGTCTTGAAAGCGAACGCCTCTAATTGAATAAATGCAACATGTATTATTATGCCACACTGTGGAACATTCCCTGCAAACCAATGACATCTCTATGGAGCAAGCTGGAAACATGCTCTGTACCAGAAAGAAGCAGCTTTAAAGGAGCACTGTCACTTTTCTAGATGGTGTTCTGTCGTCTGTTTTGGCTTTGGCAGTAAAAAAAAAAAAAAAAAACTGTACGTGAATAAATGCCTGATTTTTATGGAGACAAGCCGGAGGAAGATCTCCCACCATAGAAGTTACACAGTGCACCTTTAAAGTTAAAGTTTATCATGTTTTAATCTTACCATTTCCTGTTATGTAAGAATTTTAACGGCCTTAGGTACGAAGCACATCCTTAAGCAGTATGCTACTAAAGGCTACGTTTGCTTTGATTTTATGATTTTAAAATGACTTCAGTACCCTCTGTTACCAGAAGAGGGCGTCTGACACTTTAAGTGTTCACATGTTAAAGACAAACCGCAGCTACACAAAATTTTACTTTACTTTTTTTAACTTATGCACATTTTTATAGTTATATTCACATAACTATGAATGATTTAGGCTAAAGGTCGTGTGAAAAGAAGCTTCAGATGATTTTTCCTCCTGTCACTCTGAGTGTCTCATATCGTGTAAAAGCATGAACTGTTGTCAGAGTAAGTGTGTGGTGCTGTGTTCCAGGCTGGTTCATGGCTGTGACTGCAGTGAAGTCAGAGCAGATCAGTAAAGCTGTGCTTGTCTCCCCTGAGCTCAGACAGTCTGCTCCTACGTGTCAAATCAGCCTCCGCTACTTCCTCTGGGACTCAGGTACACACACGTGTGTGTGGCTCTCACAAGTTGTGTTCTTAAAGGTCCTATATTACTCAAAACTCACCCCTGTGAGCTTTAAGCCATGTTAGAATAGAATTACCTCATCAAAGACATACCATATACAGTATGTTTGAGTAATCCTGCATTATTAGTCGGTCTACATCTCCAAAGATCAGAATGCTCTGTTCCACCTTGTGATGTCATGAAGCAGTAGTTTTCAAGTTAACAGCTCCTTTTATCTTTTTTTCAGTAGAGATCGGCACATCCAGGGCTGCAATTACTTAAATGATTCCAGAGAAGGTGTTTGGAGTTTAAAAACACAGTTGTGCACTTCCTATATTAGCACATGACATCACAAGGTGGAATGCTGTGTTTTCTGTTTGAGAGAAGAACACAGTCACACACAGGGTTTGTTTGTTAAACCTGTTAGAATGAAACAAAACACAACTGTGTTTGTGATGAGGAAACTACATTATAACGTAGATCAGAAAAGCATAGGGCTTGTGTTTTTCTATAAATGAGATCATTTGGAGTGTATATATGCCCTCATATACTCTTTAATTATTCTACACACACACTGTTTAATGTCCGATTGCTTGTCAGTGTAATTACATTCCCCCACATTAACCTGTCTCCTTGTACTCTTGTGTGCTCAGGTTTGACAGATCTAGGCCACGCCCCTCTCTGGGTTTCAGTGCGTTACCCTGGCGATGAGGAGGAGGCGGTGCTGTGGCGTCCAGAGCCCAGCAGTGTCCGCGGGTGGAGAGAGGCCACTGTGTTTGTGGGCAGGATCTCCTCCACCTTCAGACTGGTGTTTTACTCTATGAGACGAGAGGGGCGGAGTGCTGACGTAGCTCTGGACCAGCTGCACTTCCAGCACTGTGCTCTGCCTGGTACATACATACACACTATTACCATGGATGAATATGAAATACACTTAAGACTGTCATCATGGTCATGCTTAACTGAATTTACAGCACCAGTCAAAAGCATCAACGCACTTTTTCATTTATGTTTCTTCTGTAGTTTCAGAATTATTTACCTTATAGATTCTCACTGAAGGCCTCAAAACTATGAATGACACATACAGAATGAAGTAAACAACAAATACATTTAAAAAAAAATCTCATCACTCCAAACTCACACCTGTGAAGTGAAAACCATTTCCAGGACTTCATCATGAAACTCACTGACTCTACAAAGCAAAGGATAGATACTTTGAGGATTTCAGTAGAAAAAATAAATAAATAAATAAATAAATAAATATAATAATATATAATATATATATATATATATATATATATATATATATATATATATATATATATATATATATATTATATATATATATATATATATATATATACTCATACTTCCATTGAATTCCTTGGCATTAACATCGAGGACTGCTCTGATATCTGATATTGCTATCAGCTCAAAAAATCCATATCTGGCCTGCTGTTATTTTTACTATATTAGGCTTTAAAATCCATTCAGCAAAATCTGCCAATACTGATACTGGAACTGATATGTAACCTGTCTTTATTAACTGTCCACTCAAAAGCTTCAGAGCTTCAGACTGTCACATTTTAGAATAATTCTCCTGTGTGTGCAGCTCCCCCTGCAGGCGGCTGTGGTTCTAACATGTTCCAGTGCAGTAATGAAGCCTGTGTGGAGCAGAGGTTCAAGTGTGACGGGACAGACGACTGTGGGGACGGGAGCGACGAGCAGAACTGTGGTGAGACACCTAATAAAGTAGAAAATACATAAATCTAAGTCAAAGAGAAACATCTGCACAGAAACAAGCAGGGGGCCATCAAAGTCCACCACAGAAATCTCAAGTGAACACCATCTCCAGATGTGGCCATACTGGCTTGTCAAAGCCTGATCCTGTCAGATCTCAGAAGCTCAGCAGGGCTGAACCTGGGCAGGACTTGGATGGGAGACACTGGGAATTCCAGGTGCCACAGGGGGGCGCCAGTGGCAAAAACTGTTGTTGTGTCCTTAGGCAAGACACTTCACCCACATTGCCTAGTATGAAAGTGGTGTGTGTGTGAGTGATGGTGGTGGTCAGAAGGGCCAAAGGCACAGATTGACAGCCTTGCTTCCGTCAGTCTGCCCCAGGGCAGCTGTGACTGCAGTAGTATTTTACCAACACTGAGTGTTGAGTGAATGAACAATGAACTGTAAGGCATTATATAAATGCAGTGATTAATTAATTAATTAATTAACCTCCATTTTAAACCAGATAGATAAACACTGTTAATGATTTGCAGTTATACAAATGATACAGTTTAAGATGAAAAAGAAATTCACACTGGAATTCACATCCCAGAATTCTAAAGAGCCTAAAAAGTTAACTGTGGTTTCAAAACATGTGGATAAAGTGTGATGTGTTTTGGTGTGTGTGCAGAGGATTACCACCGCTGTCACTTTGATGAGGGCCTGTGTGACATGTGGGACCTCAGGTCTCTGTCTCCTCTCAGATGGATCAGAACCAACCAGAAGAATATCTCCACCACAGACCCAATGAGCGGACCAGGCCGGGACCACTCCAACAACACTGCTACAGGTCCTTCAACACACCGTCAACACACAAGTCACATGCAACCAAACCAAATCTATTTGGACTAAATTGCTCTAAATAACTAACCTTATGCAGCAAGATGGATTCTTGTAATATTTGTGAGCTCACACACTCATGAGAGTCCATCTTGAGATACTCCTGCTGTAAAGTTTAAATTCATTTCAAGTTCAAGTTCATTTGTGGACAGAGAAGAGGTCAGTGTTTTTCTCTCTACTGGATGTAACAAATATTTGACTTTTTGGATTGTTCAGAATGACATAATATACAAATATACACAATTGCATTGCTTATATTTCCAGTTTGGTGCATTTAAATAGTATCTTTAAATAGTGACATTTATTCTATTTATTTCTGTTGCAGGTCACTTCCTGTATGTGACGGTCCCAGAGTCTGGACTGAAGACAGACTGGGCAGCTTTTCAAAGTAAACGTCTGGAACCAACGAACAGCTCCTTCCCCTGCAAGGTACCACTGTCAGTCATCACACAGACGTACGTGTGAAGGGGAGAGGCTGAGGAGGCTGATGGTTCTGCTGCTGCGGTGGAGGAGGGGACAGTTAGAAAGTGGAAATGTGGTTGGAAAGAAAAGAGCATGTTAGAGACTCTGTGTCTGTCCTTGAAGGAATGACTAAATATGATGAATGTAACATGCACAGATCAAAAGTGTTCTACAAAAGACACAAAGCCTTTATATGAGAAATCTGAATGTATTTAAACAAGTGATGTGTTTTCAGAAAGGAGCGAGTAACCTTGCTCCTGATTGGCTCTTTGGTTGCACACTATGCCTTCCAAATATGAAACTTAGTTTCAGAATGAGCTGCTATAAGCGCTCGCTCCCACTGGCTGCACTTGGCTGGGTGACATCATCCTTCAGTTCACTCGGTCTGTGTTTGAGAGGGAAAGGTAGTGTGTAGATGAGACCATAGACTGTATATATAAATGGACATAGCCAACCTGCAAGCCGACACTTCCAAATAGGAAGTGAACATGGAGGCTCTTCTGGCTCCATCGACACCAGTTGAGTTTACATTGAAAAATTGTGTCCCTCTCTCTGTATCTGCTGCTGTGATCCTCATCATTTTGGTCCTAAAATGTTTGTATTAACTCACACTGCATGTTCCTGTTTTTATTTCGTTCTTTTGTCCATAAATAAATTCCTTTTCCTAATATCGAACTTGGCTTCAACGTTGCTCCTATAACTGCTGGCCTAATGAGCTTCATTTGACTTTTGAGCCAAACTGTGTTGGTGACACCACACTCTTATTCCACTTGTTTATACAGTGTATGGATGACACACACCAAATCTAGCAACATTACAACAGTAATAGCACAACATTATACGACAGACTGCAGCTACCATACTGGCCCCAGTGCATGGAGCTTTTACTGAGAAGAATTCATACAAATAAACACATACAAATCTTATAGTACAGTATAGCCAAAATATAATCCAAAAATTCCATGATAAATATTAACCCCCCAGATATATTGTGACAGGCGAGCCCCCCTCACACTGTGCTGTGTGTTTGTCCCTGTGTCTGCAGATGGTGATGTACACACACCAGTTCGGCCCTCGCTCTGGTGGGCTCACGGTGCTGGTGGCAGACAAGAACATTTACCCCGTGTGGGAGAGGGGCGGGGCTCTGGGGGACCTGTGGGTGCGGGCCGAGGTGGAAATCAACACCAACTCCACTTTCCAGGTCAGTTTTGTCCACTACCTCAAAGTTTTAAAGTCTGTTTCTCACTATAAAAAAGAAGTGATTTTGATCCTCGTTCAGTTCTGTTTCATGTTGAGACTCTAGGGCTGCAAGACAAATCACAGTCAAATTTAAGTCAGAATTGCATTGAACTTAGCAAATCATAAAGTCAAATACCATCATTTCCTCCACACAAGTCCCAGTGTTTGTCATAAAAAATCTCTATTACATATTTTCCCGAATCACTCAGCTCAAACAGACTCAGAAATGACACATATAGATAGATCGATATATATAATAGAGTCAAGAGGAATGACTGAAACACGAGCTGTTTAAAGGTTTAAAACCTTAAAGCCACAGTTGATTTTAAATATGTATGTAAAAACATGTGCATCTCATTAGTGCTCATTCAGCTAGTTGCTTCTATTTGTGGCTGTGATGTTCGCGTGGCTTGTTTTGAACTTTTTTATTTTTCTCAAAGGCTTGGTCGCTGCTGCCACTGCATCTCCTGTTAATAAGCAGCTTCATCTACAGTAGCAGCCACTGAATACAAGTACAGGCTCAGTGAAAAGAATTCATTCAGATTAATAATCTCTCATCTCCACAAACCTAACTCTTATTTGGCCTGGAGGAGAGTCTCATCTTGCATGTTTCCATGGAAATGTTCTTTTGGCATTAATATTCCACAGTGTGGCATAAAATGATCTATGTCCATGGACAATGTTCTGAAATATGGTTTTAACCTTCTATTTCTGTGGAATCATGCAGGTGATGTGCCAAATCCAGAAAGTTACATACTGTATCTTTATGAAATCAGAACTACTGCCATCAAAATGAAGTCATTTGAACTCATTTAGATATTTATTGTTTGCAGTATTGTTTGTTAATAGCCTCATTTAAACTGCTTCACTTCTCCATGTTGTCTCCAGTGGGACCAGGAGATGTTCCCGCCCCTTTCATTCTTTTTTAATCAGGTCTGAATTTTGTGGCAGCAGTGTCTCAGTGAGTAGTGTATTCCCCCAAAACCTAAAGGTCTGTGGTTCAATCCCAGCTCAAATCAGTGCTTATTGTTGTTGTGCTCTTGGGCTAAAACCCTTCAGCCACTTTGCCTTTGTATGTGTCTGATGTGTAAATGAGTGACTGGGGGTCAGAGATGTTTGTAGACCTGGGTAGATAATGTGTTGTTGTATTGTTTGATTTCAGATCTTAATCATGGCTGCCCTCAGAGACTTTGAATACGGAGGCATCGGTGTGGACAGCATCGTGCTGTCTCCTGAGTGCCAACTGTCCTCAGGTAAAATACTGTGACTGGCTCTGCTGTAACATGTGCATTTGTATTCATATTGTAATGCTGTGTGTTGTTTTGGGCAGCAAACGGGAGCTGGGCTAACATCCCCAAACCTCCTGCTCACCCCTGCACCTCCTCAGAGAAGATATGTGACTTCAATGTGGACTGTGACGCAGCAAAGGACGAGGACACGTGTGGTCAGCTGATAGTCAATATTTATCCTACTCCAGCCTGTGCTTTTGCACTTTAAAACTCACAACTGAACCTGGCCATGGCTCATGTGAAGCTCAGAACCTCCAGAATTCCCTCCATGAGCTGCACAGTCAGTGTTAGTCACTGACTCTTGACTGGTGCAGGTGGGGTGGGGTTTAGGTAGTGACCATTTGGGATCAGAGAGAGGCATTTTAGGTTTAAACCAGCTGGACTCTCTGTGATCTGAATGGATCTGTAATATCAAAAATGAAAAACAATAATCAAAGTTGACAATAAAATTAGCATGTTTATATATCATTTCTATTAAATAATGTTTTGTGTGTGTTGTCTGTTGCAGGTGACTTTGTGTACCCAGAGGGCTACAAGGGCTGGACAGACTCCAGTGTGGGGAGTCAGGGCTGGGACTATAACTCAGCAGGTGCATGTCTTTTATTTCAGGGGTGATGCCTTTTAGTTGTCATTCATTTAAATAAGCCTGAGTTAGCCCAAAGTCTGTTTTCCCTTCACTGTCCGAGGGCATATGTTAGAGCTGCTCCAGGTAAGTTTTCTGGTGGAGGGTCTGTTACCTGCTTGTCTCATGATGATGTTATGGCTTTGCCTGGAATGTTTCACAGTATAAATGTATTGTCAATATCTTTGATTTATTCAAACAGAGAATTTTTTATTGCCAAAAATACTTGGTTTGATGGATTGGTTTGTCCCACTGGAGATTGCCAAGTTTTTCTTTATTCTGTGGAAGAAGCAAAACCATAAGAATGTCTCTAGTTAGAAAAGAAGTTTTCAGGCCCCCCCACCAGAAAACATTTAAGTTTGAGATGTCAAACACTTGAGAATCCCTCTTGTACAGTTCCTGGCTGATCTGAGTCACTCTTGGTGCAGCTGTAGATTGATACTCCAGAGTCGGGCTTTTGTCTAGTTACTAGAAAACCATTCAGCGTCAGCCCTGAGTGACTCATCTGTCCTGGATGTTCTGTGCAGAGGTGGTCCTGTACGTGACAGAGGCAGCAGGACACCAGAAGACCCCAGCCCAGATGAAGACCCCTCTGTTGGGCCCTTCAGGACCAGCCTGCACCCTCAGCTTTGACTACGCACTCACGGGCCCCCCAGAACATATCGGTAAAAGGGTGTAAAAGCAGTCATTAAAAAAAACAGACTGTGATATGGCCTATGTATTAATAAAAGGCACTTTGTAAACTTTAAGACACAACCACCTATGACAACCCTCTGAAGTGTACTGGGATATTTAATCTTAATACTTAATACTTAATCGTGTTGTTGTATGCAGTTCAGACTTTGTTTCGTCATGTGTCTTGTTACGTCTCGTGTGCAGGGGAGCTGTCTGTGCGTGTGATGGACAGTGTGCTCGGACCTCAGCCCAAAATGTGGGAGTTTGCTGGAAAAACAGGAACAGTGGGAGATTCCTGGAACCACACACAAGTTTACATCGGGCAGAGGAAATCACGCTTCCAGGTCCAGGCTCTTATCAACATAAAACTTTTGTTTGGGCATTTGACACATTTGTTGTCATGTATCTAAAGACGGGGTAATATAGCCATTTCAAAACAATAAAGGGTAAAGTGTGGTGATCTAAATATGTTTTTTGTTAGCAGTTAATACCACATAGAAGTAAAATACCCTTTACTCTTTAAATGTATCTTTTCTCTTGTACTAGCTGGCGTTTGAAGGACAAGTGGCTGAGATAGACACTATGGCTGAAATCAAAGTGACCAATATTTCCTTCCACGACTGCAATCAAAACTACTACCCCCAAGCCCCAACTGGTAAGACATATTGCACTACAATGTTTTGCCATAAATTTCAGCCAAAATTGTCTCACCCAGTCTGCTAAAGTCCCTATTTACCTGGGACAGTTCCAGTTTTGAGCCCTGTGTCCCCTGTCCCAGCAGATTTCTCCAAAACCGGTGATTTGTCCCAGTTTTATACAAGAAATGTCCCTGGTGTCCCTATTTTTGACCAATCTGATCCCTGCCAACAGTAAAGAGAGACATAAATTGCCATTTGTTTCAGTAAAATACAGAAAAGCTGCTTAAAAATGACCAAAACACAAAGAAAATGCGACTGTACTGACTCACATTAGTGCAGAGTGGAGAACCATTTTCCTTCAGTACGCACTCGTTTCACAATTATTATTACCAACCAGCAAAAACCAGGAATGTCCCTGGTTTTTATTTTGAAAATCTGGTCACCCTACCAAAAACGTGACTATAGTCTCTTAGCGTTGTGAAAAGTGCTCAGAAACTCATTGTGAATAAAATGAACTAGTTCTGTTTTTCTTTTTTTTTTTGAGAATTAAAAAATCAATCACAGCACCTTTAGGCATAGTGTGTGCAAAAGTGTGCTCAAGTGTGTGTTCTATATTAAAACATGACACTTTTAAAGCATGTTGTCCTTGCATTTGGGCGTCATATCTTGGGCTTTGTTTCCAGGAGTGTCGTGTAATTTTGAGGAGAGTCTCTGTGAATGGCTCCAGGACAACAACGATAACTTTGACTGGACTCTGGTGGACGGCATGGACCACACCATTAGTGTTGGTAAAACACTGCATGATTCATTGTTTAAAACAAATTAGTGTCTTGCCCAAGGGCATAACAATAATTTCAGAACCTCTACATAACCTGTACCTTAATGTGGAGCTTATATTGTTGAGTAAACTGCACAGTTGTGTGTGCTCAGGCAGGAGTCTGGTGGTGGACTTGTGGGAGCCTTCTCTCCGTGGTGCGTATGGACGTCTCCTGACATACCCACAGCCCGCCTCCACCACAGGGGGGTGCTTCTCCTTCTTCTACAAGCTCTATGGACCAAACACAGGTACAGATCAGGATGGTCAATAAACAAATACATCATAACAATCTTCTAACCAGTTATACGCCTCAGGTACTCTGAACGTGAAGCTGCAGGATGATCTGGGCTACGAGCTCACCCTGTGGTCTCGCACTGGAGCTCATGGGAACGTGTGGCACGAAGCTCAGTGCCCCGTGCCACAACAGCTCACCCCCTACAGGGTAAGAACTGCCCCCCCCAGCACAACCAGCACACTTTAAACCCTTAATCCTGATTTTGTATTTTCTCTGTGATCCAGCTGATGTTTGAGTTGGTCCGCTCGGGCTTTGATGGTCGTGTTGCCGTTGACGACGTGGCATACAGGAACTCAGAGTGTGTATCTGTGTGGACGATGTGCTCATTCGAGGGCTCTCAGTGTGACTACAGCAGCTCTGGGGCCGTGAAGTGGCGCCACACTAACGGATACAACTCCTCCTTAGGCCCCAACACCGACCACACGCTGGAGACTGAAACGGGTCAGACAGCACTCACATGTAAACTGCTGCTGTTCACACTTTACACTGGAGACTGATTACATTGTACTTTACCACCAAATATGCCAAAAAGTAAATTCACAAATGTTGAAACTGATCATTTCTATTAGTGACTACACGCATTAACCTCTTGTAATACATAAACAATTGCATTTTAACAATACAGTATTAATTTTAGCTGCCCACAACTGTATTAAATATGATTGACCTTTAGAATGTTGTGATATCATCTGAAACCCACACATTGACCTCCATAATACTCTATTCGGACTATATATAGTTCTTTTTATTGTATTTTATTGTATTTTATTTATTATTTTATATACACTGCTCAGCCAAAAATAAAAGTTGCCACCTGGATTTAACAAAGCAAATAGGTATGAGCCTCCTATTAGATAAATACTGCATGGGTGATTATTTTCCAGCTGGCAACAAGTTATTTAACCCCAACTGGTGCAAAGAGCTTCTCATTTCTTAAACAACCATATCAAAAGACACATCCCATGGTTGTGGAAAAGATGTCAGTCTGATTAAGAAGGGTCAAATCACTGGCATACATCAAGCACAGAAGACATTTAAGGAGAAACTACTAAAGTTGGATTAAGAAGTGTCCAAAGTGTTATTAAAAACTGGAAGGATACCCTGGATTTACCCTGTTCCAGAGTGATGGGCGCATCAGGGTAAGAAGAGAGGCAGATGATGTGATGCACCCCTCATGCCTTGTGCCTCCTGTACAGCCTGTGGGGGCAGTGCTGTGATCTGTGGTTGCTGCAGTTGGTCAGGTGAAGGTTCAGCAACAGTTTGTGCTCAAAGAATGAGGTCAGCTGACTATCTGAACATACTGAATGACCAGGTTATTGCATCGATGGGTTTCTTCTTCCCTGATGGCATGGGCATATTCCAGGATGACAATACCAGGATTCATCGGGCTCAGATTGTGAAAGGGTGGTTCAGGGAACATGAGACATCATTTTCACACTTGGATTGGCCACCACAGAGTCCAGACCTTAACTCCATTGAGAGTCTTTGGGATGTGCTGGAGAAGGCTTTGCGCAGTGAAAAATTAATGCAACACTGGATGGAAATAAATCTTGTGACACTGCAGAAGCTTATCGAAACAATGCCACATCGAATGCCTTAATCAAACCTAAAGGCGCTGCAACGAAATATTAGAGTGTGTGACCTTTTTTTTGGCTGGGCATTATTATATATATATTAATATATTATTATATTCATATATATTCTGGGGTCCCCCCGGAGGAGCTGGAGGACGTGTCTGGGGTGAAGGAAGTCTGGGAGTCCCTGCTTAGACTGCTGCCCCTGCGACCCGGCCCCGGATAAGTGGAAGAACATGGATGGATGGAATATTATTATATTATTATATTATTATATTTTGCACAATGCAACTTTTCTAGTGGAGCGTCTGTCACTTGCTTGTCTCCATGGAGATGCCATTGCCTTGCCTGGAATATTCCACAGTATTAATAGTATTTCTAAAAGGGAGGTCTTTTTAAAATTGGTACCTACAGATCCTGTACCTCACAGCCTTAACTAGGTTGCATGCTCCAGTTGAACCACTCCTTGGGCTTGTGTACAGCTGTGTCTCACTTTCGTACATGCACTACTGACTGCATACAGCAGGGGGCAAGTTTTTTTTTTTCATAAAATGTCTATTAAACTAACTGAGCTCTATAGAGACAAGTAGATGACTCTACCAGGCCACAATAAAAGCACTTGCAATTGAATAAATGCAAATAAGTTTAACTGTTGTACATTTTATATATAGTTTAAAATATCTGATCTGTAGGTAAACAGCAGGACTATTTTAATCCTTATTTATGTTGAGTATTTTTGATTAGTACGGCCGCTGTTCTTACAACTTTGCTTGTGTAACACTGCAGTTTTACCAGTGAGGGACAACAAGCTTCTCTTATCTCAGCAGAATGAATATAATCAACTTGTATTGGAGTTGGCCTGAAGGAAACCATTAGCTATTAGTTAATAACTTATATGTGATGACAAAACAAAATTGTATGTACAATTTTCAAAGAATGACAACAAAATTCCTATCTGAATGTAAAGTGCAGAACCATACCTCTATTCTAAATGTATGTACTCTCCAGGGTACTACATGCTGCTGAACTCTGGCGCTGACATGCTCCCGGCCGGGTCTGTCTCCACCCTCGCCTCCCCGCTCACCCAGGGCACGTCCAAAACCCACTGTCTCCAGTTCTGGTACCACATGGGCGGAGACAGTCCTGGTGAGGAAATGCCACTTCACTCTGCTCTTTTTGTACCACTTGAAATGATTCTTATTTCTGTAAATGTTAATGTTTGAATTAGTATTGGTGTACAATAATGTAAATGGACAACAGTTCTTCTATGCCCCTTGGTGGTAGTGCTTGTGTCAAAGTATAACTGATTCAGACGTACAGCTTTGAAAATCATGATGGTCATATAAAGTAGTTACTGTTAAAACATTATTAATAAGTGTTGCAGACCAAGTGATCCCCTTATTAACAGCTCACAGAGTCTGTTCTGGCATAAAAAAGGACAAAGGCAATGTGGTATAAAAATTATGAACAAATTAGTAATCACAAACCAACCATCAATGAAAAACAAACCACGAGTTAAACCCTACATTTACAATAAGTTAAAGTTTTAATGCTATGTAAACAAGAATGCTGCTGTGAATTGGTATTTAAAAGTGCTAAGATATTTGAGGTAGGCTTCATTAAGTTATAGTACATAGAGTTCCAGATGGTGTAAGTGCTTGTGCTAAGGCGACTTATCTGGGCTGAAGTGACTTGCAATAACCCCGAGACCTAACCTTGCATCGCACTGAGAACCTGGCCAGATTTTGCACTTCCCTTAAACACCTGAGCTACTGTTCCACAACATTCAAATAAAAAAGAAACACTAAGAATAAAGATAAAGAATAAAGAGCAAGAACAAGGGAACAATAATTTAGCTTCAGGTAGGCCATTAGTGACCACCACCCCAGGTAAACAACAAAAAGGCATTTACCGAAAGTTTAGAAGGGGGAGAGGGGCACGCCACATGGGGCTTGGAGCACGTTAGGAGCGGCCGCCGTCACCACCGCCTGCTCCAGACAACACCTTTAAACATAGTCAGAAACATCGCATTAAGGCATGTTCTAAAAACCATTAAGAGAGAAACTACTCCCGGTCCTTTCACTAGCCACCGAAAGCCCCGCCTGCCTCCCCACGGCGTGCACACACTTATATAATCACTAATCAGTGATGCTGGGAGCCACGCACAGCGACAAAAAACTAGTCCCTGCTAACACCCGGTTACATAAGCATCACGGGAATACAATGGAAACAGAAAATAAAGAGATTAGAAGAGTTGAGGTGGCAGAAGTTCAGCAGTTCCAGTTCTGCTCTTCTTAATACTGCAGTTGTCTGTGGCCTAAATATGGAACCCTTCTTGTATAAACGTGTGTGGCGATGGACAGAAGACTGCAGATATAGTGACAGAGTGAATGAAACAAAAAAGCAACTCTCATTTTCAAGTGCTGTCTGTCTTAAAGAGTGGGTATACAGATCTTACTATACAACAAATCACAACTTGAACCTGTGTCTCCAGAGCCTTAACCTGCCGGTAGAGGACACATCCACGTTATTCTCATGCTCAGTATTTGTACTGCAAAAAGTAATATGTAGGGAAGTTAAAAATGACTGAAATTAAGAACATTTTTACTTCATTTGAGTAGATTCAATTTGACAAGTAAAGTTAAGTGTTTTTTCTTCATTCAAGCAGTATAAGGTTTTGTTTCTTATTTAACTATAAAAATGCGTTGTTTTACGTGTTTTCTGTATAACAAGATGTGTTTTATTATTTCAAGTACAAAAAGTTATGTTCTATTGGTAGATATTTTTAGCCTTTTTGGAAACCGTCTGACCTCGCAGTATTAGGATTTGTTCGCTCGACGGTAGGTGGATACTTTTTTTATTTAACCAATCGCTACTATTTGATCGTGACGTTTGTAATGTGCCAAATCCCATAGGAAGAAGGGCAATAACGTCTTTCCCCTTGATAAAATTCACCAAACATTCTCTTTGTTCCGGCTTTAAATCCTCAATCTCGGGAATTGTCGCCAACACAGAATGTCTGTCTTCGTCTACATCCATGTCGACGCTTTGTTTACTGTTGTGTTGTTCCACAAAAGGGACCCAGACAGACACGACAAGTTTGACTTCATGGCTTCACAGCTCACAGCTGATTGGCTGATGTGCGATCTACAACTTCCAGTGTTCTTGCAAACCATCTAGTGTATTCTGATTTCTAACCTAGTCGCTGAAGAGACATGAAATTGAGCAGAGGCCAGCTTGGCTAAGAATTTTGCGTACCCACTGAAATTTACTCAAATCAAGATCAGACATTCTTACTCAATTTTAACTTGGTTAGATTAAATTTTTTGCACCCATTTTAGATTTAAAACAACTGGATTTCACCACTGAATCCCAAAAGAAAGACTCATTTGAGGCTCAGTCTGCTTTCTGATTGGACAATTGTCTTAAGAAGCAAAATACCAACATAAACACTTGGCCATCATGTTCAAGGTTTTTGTAATTATGAATAAATCAGTATTGCAATTCTCATCTTTATGAAATTTTAAATCAAAATGTTACATACTGTTCCTTTTCAAAGGTTCAGTCAGGCCTTGTACACATTGTTAAGCCTGAAGGTCCCCTCCATGTCGGACAGCTGAACATGCTCTTGTGTGTTTTGAAGGCTCCCTCACCGTGTACTTGAAGCCAGTGAAGGGCGGGCGAGTGAAGATCTTCTCGAACAGTCTGAATCAGGGAGGGGGCTGGCGTCATGGCAGCGGTAACATCTCCTCTGACCTGGTGGACTGGCAGGTACACACTGGTTCACAGGGTTAGGATGGAGAGGAGGTCCCCTATTGTTTGACAGTTGTTTTCTGTTGTGCAGTTGGAGTTTGAGGTGATTGGAGCGGGCGGTAAGGACACTCACGTTGCCATTGACGACGTCCATATTTTGAATCATGCCTGTGAATCTCAAGGTTAGTACATGATGGGGTATGAGAGTACTGCGATATCACGTTTTGTTTAAAGTGAAACTGTGTATATGGTGTTTGCATAACATTTTCTACTCTTCTAGTCATTTTTGCAGTTCTCCCCTTTAGTCCTCCAGACCCCACTCCTCCTCCCCCTCACTCTCCCCTTTAGTCCTCAAAGCCATGCCCCTCCTCCTCCCTCACTCTCCCCTTTAGTCCTCCAGACCCCGCCCCCTTCCCCTTTACTCTCCCCTTTAGTCCTCTAGACTCCACCCCGCCTCCCACGTCACTCTCCCCTTTAGTCCTCCAGACCCTGCCCCTCCTCCCTCTCCACTCTCCTTTTTAGTCCTGTAGACCCCGCCCTCCTCCCCACTCACTCTCCCCTTTAGTCCTGCAGACCCCACCCCTCTTCCCCTTTACTCTCCTCTTTAGTCCTCAAGACTCCCTCCTCCTCCCTCACTCTCCCTTTTAGTCCTCCAGACCCTGCCCCTCCTCCTCCCTCCCTCTCCCCTTTAGTCCTCTAGACGCCGCCCCTCCAAATCCAGTCTCTCTTCCCTTTAGTCCTTCAGGCCACACTCCTCCTCCCTCTCACCCTCCCCTTTAGTACTCCAGACCCCCCCCCTCCCTCCCCCTCACTCTCCCCTTCTCCTTTTTAGTCCTCCAGGCCACACCCCTCCTCCCCCCTCACTCTTCTCTTTAGTGCTCTCACCCCACCCTTTCTCCTCCTCACTCACTCTCCCCTTTAGTCCTCCAGGCCACGCCCCTCCTCCTTCCTCATTCTCCCCTTTAGTCCTCCAGACCCCGCCCCTCCTACCCCCTCACTCTCCCCTTTAGCCCTCCAGACCTTCCCCACTCTCCCCTTTAGTCCTCCAGACCCCACCCCTCCTCCCCCCTCACTCTCCCCTTTAGTCCTCCAGACCCACCCCCTCCTCCCCCCTCACTCTCTCCCTTTAGTCCCCCAGACCCCTCCTTCTCCCCCCCTCACTCTCTCCCCTTTAGTCCTCCAGACCCCACCCCTCCAAACCCCTCACTCTCCTCTTTAGTCTTTAAGACCCCCCCATCTCCCCTTTAGTCCTCCAGGTACTGCCCAGTTCTATTTGAAATATGGTTATGGGCGAAATTTTGTTTTGGAGTTTAGTTCCACTTGAAAAAGCTAAAAATCGGTATCGGCAAATATCGTGATCGACATTGGCTCAAAAAAATCCACGTCGTCCCGTGGCTAATTTCAGTTATGAGTCAAGTAATCATGATTTTCTTTCTTGTTTTTTTCTTGTTTTTTTTACTATGATCGAGCAGCTCAGATTTCCGTTGTACCGTTTTCAAACATGCTGGTGAACATTGGTGCGTGTGTGCGTTCAGATTCCAGGTGTTCTCTGGAGGAGGGTCTGTGCAGCTGGACCAACACCCAGGACGTCCTCAAAGACCGACTGGACTGGGAGCGGAGCAGCAGGGAGGCAGAGAGACACTACCCCACACCCGACGCCGACCACACCCTAGAGCACGAGAAGGGTGAGGGACCACGAGCACCACGTCATCACAACACAACCACATCCAGGAACAGATTACATGGACCACAGTTATGTAATCAGAGTACAAATTATGAGTAACTGTATTCAGTTACAGTTACTGTTTCAATGAGTGGTAATTGGATTACAGTTACTTTGTTGAAATAAATGGATTACACAGAGGGATTTTCCTGTTTTCACATTTTGGGCTAAATCCTTTTTTTTTTTTTTTTTTTTTGGTTATTCCACTCATTGCCAAACACTAAACCAGGACTAAATCAGGATTGAACCAGGTCTAAACCAGGTCTAAACTGGGACTAAACCAGGTCTAAACTAGATCTAAACCAGGTCTAAACCAGGTCTAAACCAGGACTAAACCAGGACTAAACCAGGACTAAAACCAGGTCTAAACCAGGTCTAAACCAGGGCTAAACCAGGGCTAAACTAGGTCTAAACTAGATCCAAACCAGGTCTAAACCATGTCTAAACTGGGGCTAAAATCAGGTCTAAACTAGATCCAAACCAGGTCTAAACCAGGACTAAAACCAGGTCTAATCTAGATCCAAACCAGGTCTAAACCAGGGCTAAACCAGCACTAAAACCAGGTCTAAACCAGGACTAAAACCAGGTCTAAGCCAGGTCTAAACCAGGACTAAAACCAGGTCTAAACTAGATCCAAACCAGGTCTAAACCAGGACTAAACCAGGTCTAACCAGGTAAAACTAAACAGGAACTAAACCAGTCTAAACCAGGTCTAAAACTAAAACAGGTCTAAACTAAACCAGGTCTAAACCAGGACTAAACCAGGTCTAAACCAGGGCTAAACCAGGTCTAAAACCAGGGCTAAAAGGTCTAAACCAGGGCTAAACAGGTCTAAACCAGGACTAAACCAGGTCTAAACTGGTCTAAACCAGGTCTAAACCAGGGCTAAAAAGGTGTTTCTGAACTTTTTAAGCAGACAAAACATCTTATGTGAAGATTTCCGAGTATTTGCTTCTCTACAGCAAATCAAGTAATCCAAAGTATTCAGATTACATTACTTACTTGAAGTAATTTAATGGATTCCGTTACAAACTACATTTTTGGGGTATGTAATCTGTAATCTGTAGGGGAATACATTTTAAAAGTCACCTTCACAACACTGAACACATATTTCTGCAATATATAATAATAATCATCATCATCATAATAATCATAATACATTTGTAAAGCACTTTTAAAAACTAGTTTAACAAAGTGCTGTGCAAGCAGGAAAGAACAATAAACAAAGAATAAAAATAGCATCCAGAAAGCACAAAATCAGATATTCAATTAATTATAATAAATAAGTTAATAAAAGAGAATAAAAATCAATAAGGAATAAAATCAAGCTAAAACCAGTTAAAGGAAGACCAACCGATAAAAATGAGTGTAAAGAAATTATTTAAAAGATGATAATGATGGTGTGAGCCTTATGGTGCGACTGAAAAGACTATCAGCCCTTTGGAACTGCCACAGGGACCTGCCTGAGGATCTAAGGCTGCAGGAGGCTCGTACGAGGTTAAAAGTTCTGAAATGTAACTTGGTGCAAGGCCTAAACAAGCTTTAAAAGTGATCAGAAAATCTTAAAATCGATTCTAAAACACACAGGCGACACTGAAGGGAACTCAAACGGGTCATGTGTTGAGCTGCCGAGCTGCTGTGTTCTGAACCTGTTGGAGGTGGAGATGGATTTGGAGTCGAGGCTGGAGGGAGTTGCAATAGTCTAGACAGGAGAAGATGAGCATGTGGATTATTTTTTTAAGCTCAGGGTGGGAGAGGATATAGACACAGACATTTCCGTGATGTTCTGCACTACCAGTCAATAGTTTGGACACACTTTCTCATTCAATGTTCTTAAAGAGAAGATATTATTAAAGAGGTATTAGATGCCATCCATGCATGTTTGAGTAATCTAGCGATCTCTCCTGGGCCCTGTTCAGACCCTCCTTATGGTTAGCAGTACGTTACTATCCAAAACTCAACACACAAGCCTTCATCACAATTCTCCAAAAATATACAAAAGCAGGATACAAAACGATAAACAGCTTCACAAAGCGGATGCGATGTGCAGTAGTTTCATTAGGGGGACGCACGCTGATTGTGTTGTGAGAGCGCTCTGAAGGGGGAGTGACTTAGTGCTGGAAGCCAAAGTGAAACTTATCATACATGATAATAAGTTGTTTTCTAGCAAATATAACATTTTCAGAGCAATAAAAGGAAACATGGTGATATACAGGTTAATGTATGTGTTAGCAATTAATAGCCCATATAAGTGTAATTCCCCCTTTTTATGTTTATTACTTTTACATTGTGAATACATCCTGAAGGCATCAAATAGTTACATTTTATATTCAAATCCTCAAAGTCTCCACCCTTTGCTTTGTGGACAGCACTACCAGCCCTTGGCCGTCTCTCAGGGATCCTCATGATGATGTGTCCTGAAATGGTTTTCACTTCACTGCTGTGTTAGTCTGATTCATCAGATGGTTTGACTTTGTGGAAACCGTCTGACCTTGCAGCTTTAGGATTCATTCATTTGACAGTAGGCTGGGACTTTTTTTATTTAACCAATCGCTGCTGTTTGGTCGTGACGTGTGTAATGCACCAAATCCCATAGGATGAAGGACAATAACGTCTTTCCCCTTGATAAAATTCACCAAACATTCTCTTTGTTCTGACTTTAAATCCTTGATCTTGGGAATCGTCGCCAACACAGAATGTCTGTCTTCGTCTACATCCATCTCGACGCTTTGTTTACTGTTGTGTTGATCCACAAAAGGGACACAGACAGACACAATGAGTTTGACATCATGGTTTCACAGCTCAAAGCCGACGGGTCTGTGTGTGGTCTACATCTTCTGGGGTTCTTACAAATCGTCTAGTGCACAGGTGTCAAACATACGGCCCGGGGGCCAGATCCGGCCCTCCAAGACCTTTAATCTGGCCCTCGGCTGATTTTCTACTAAAATATTTTAATTATATTTTCTATTAAAATATTGGTAATTTTCTGTGGTGTTTATCACAGCAGCGTCTCCAGCGTCTCTGTACGTGGCCCCTCCCACCAGAGCAGCACAAATGAAGACTTGTCTCTTTCCAAACGCTCTTAAAGGACGATCGTTTTGACTGTTGACCGTGACACCCTCATCAGAAAAATGTCCAACATGAGAAAAGTGGAGCCGAGTGCAGGATTTTCCAAGAAAAATTGACTTATTCCTATTTGCAAACAAGTTCATGTTAAAACTTTGTGTTGAAATTGTATTTTTCTTAAAGTTTCAGGTTGTTCATAATATTATAATATTTTGTAAAAGAAAGAGTTCATAAATTAAAAAAGATTTCTGTAATAGATTTGTGTTTCTCTGCACAAATATTTGAACTTATTGTTATTTTTGGGGTTTATATGACATGAGTTTTCTGATCCGGCCCCTTTGGATCAAAGTAGGTTGGATACGGCCCCCGGACCAAAATGAGTTTGACACCCCTGTTCTAGTGTAGTATTCTGATTCCTGACCTAGTCACTGGATGAGAAATTAAACTGATTGGAGGCACACGGTGGTGCTAGTCTGGCTAGTGCCGTGTCAGGGTTTATTAGTGAAATGTAAAAAGTGGAAAGCAGTGATCAAACTAAAAGGGGACTACTATGAAGAATCTAAAGTATGATTGGATTATTTCATCCTTTTTTGTTGTTTTTTTTTGTTTTTTACTCCATTGCATTCATTCCAGTCCTTTCCTTCAGTGAAAATCTACAATGCAAATAGTCATGACAATTTAGAAAAGGCATTGATTGAAAAGTGTGTCTGAACATTTGCCTGGTAGTGTGCAAGATTATTTATGTTCCTATTGTGCACTTTGTGATTAGTAAAGTCTTCTATTTTCAGTTGCAGCTCTGTATAGGCTCTATTCATGCTTATGTCACAAACCAGGAAGATGTTTGGAAACATTTGGTGACAACTTCTGGTGGGATTTTGTTCGCGGTAGTAAGTCTGACAAAATCTAGGAAAACATCCCAGTTTTTTTCATCTCCATGTCATTGTAGTGTTCCGTTATGTTCGGCTCATCAACCATTACAACCGCACCTCAGTTTTCATCATTTCCCCACTGACACACAACTCCGAGTGCACTGGGTACATGAGATTAGAAGAGATGAGGCGCCAAATTCCAGATGATTCCAAACAGCACATACGTCTGCAGTCTTCATTTTACCACTGATCACATTTACTTCAGTGGGTTTGATCACAGTCGGTCACTGAGCCCAGAGTCGGGAACTACACCATCGCCATTAGGCATAAGTAGGCATTTGCCTCGGGCCCCCAACTAATTCAGTGACACTAATGGCCAAGGCCTCAGAGAAATAAAATTTTCTCTCAATATGACATTAAATGAGAGCAGTTTAATTTTAAATAATAATCATTAAAAAAAAAAAAAAAAAGTCATGTAACGGATGTAAACAAAAATGTAATTGTACTAGCAAAAAAAATTACAACTACTTCCAGTTCTGGTTTTCTAGTAGACTACTGAACTAAAAAGACAAGTTTCCATAATTCACATAAATAAAGATGTGGATGTCTCAAGAACAATGGGAAAAACAGACAATAAGTATATATTCAAAACAAAACAAAAACAAAAAATAGTGCTTTATAGTGAGGGCCCCAAACTCAAGTTCGCCAAAGGCCCCTAAATTGCTAACTCCGCAACTGGTCATCACGTTTTTCAATGTCGTCCTGGTTTGTGACGTAAGTGTAAATACAGCCTATTGCCATTTTCTACCAATAAAAATCGAAAAAAAAAAAAACAACTTTTTTTTGTCTTTCCCAGGTCACTTCCTGTTTCTACCCAGCAGCGACAGGACAGCAGCCAATCAGAACGCTTGGTTGTTGAGTCCTCACCTGCCCCCCACCAAAGGCACCTGCTTGAAATTTTGGGCCAATATGCCTTTTTCAGGTAAGATCACGCCCTTCATTTATTCATTTCTCAATTATTCAAAGCATCGTCTTGTTTCAGATGTATTTTAAAGACGCTGTACCTGATTTTTTACTGTCTTAAAAATGTGTAAAACAGAACTTCAATTTCAAGATCCTCCTGATCATCTCCAAAGCTCTCCATAACCAGACACCTCCAAACCTCACAGACCCCGTCCAGCTCCACCATCCCTCCGGCTCTAACCTTCTCACTCCCACACTCAAATCTAAGCACCGAACCTTAGGGGACCGAGCCTTTGCCACGGCTGCTCCTGTCCTCTGGAACTTTCTCCCACTTCACATCAGAAACTCACTAAACATCTTCAAAAATCTGCTCAAAACACTCCTGATTGCTCCTCATTACTGTTTGTCCTTGTTTTAGTTTTACTTCATTACAGGAGTGTCAAACTCAAATTCACAGAGGCCAAAATTAAAAACTGGGACTAAGTCGTGGGTCAAACTACAGTAAATATTTATTGAATAATGTCAACAACATCTGCATGTTTTCTCTTCTTTCGAGATATGTAATGTTAAACCTTTTCTTATTAAAATAAATGTTTCATAATAGTTTTGCTTAAACATTGAATCCAGAACAAGCAGAATATAAAATAATAACAACATTTTAAATAAATAATGTCTCTATAGTCGATCTGTAGCTGGTGAGCAGCTCTTATACACATTTGATATGATCTCACGGGCCAAATTTGGCCCCCAGGCCTGAGTTTGACATGTCTGCTTTATTATGAAGTGTCTTTGTGTTACCATGAAAAGCGCTATATAAAACCAATGTATTATTATTTATTTATTTTTATTTTATTTTTTTTTTTACAGTGGTCCAAAGTTATTCCTGTCTGACCTTATGCATTCTGAGCACCCTAATTATTCAGCACAATGTGTTGAAAATGATTATGTCATTATAATATTATCAAGCTTATATATAATACATATATTCATAATATATATTTATGATTTTGGCCTAATTACTCTCAGGAATGTACTGAAAAAAAAAAATAAAATGAAAAAAAAAAACAACTACTGAACTAGATTATTTTTGGAACTATGAACAAACTAGTTTTGAAATGTGTGAACTGAACTTTGAACTAGTTCATATAGAAAATGAACTTTCCCTTCACAATCTAGCACCAGCAAAGTCAAATTCCGCTGCTGCTGAGAAAATAGTCCCTCAACATGCGCCGGTTCATGTGATGCAGGGTTAGTTTTATTTCAAACATTATTCTATCGACACAGACATTCACATGGACAGTCTGGTGTAATAATAGATTTGTTTCAGGTGTTTTGTGGAGTGGGTAAGACTGTTTTTAGTGGCAGGAGAACTATGACCATTGACATGCACTAGTCTAAGCACCAGTGACCTCTGCAAATACAAGGACTGGATGGAATATTTTAAAAACGCGTCTCCACACGTCTCCAACACTCTGGACTCACTAGGAAATGAGGCCCTATGTCCAAAATTCCGGACTGTCCCTTTAACCTTCCCAGTGTGCTTAAATTACACCCACAGTTACACCCTAAACTTGGAAACAGTTTGGTTGGGAGTCCATCCGTGAAGATAGAAAGGTTTAATGCCATACTGTGAAACATTTCAGACAAAGCAATAACAGCTTCATAAAAACATTTGATGGACCCTCCACCAGAAAAGTTACACAATGCACTTTTACCTTTTGTATCTTTGTAATACAATTGTAAATAAATACAATCCTTCACTTTCCTTTTCAAAGTTTTTCTGTATATTTTTATTTTTTGCAGTTTTGGTCGCTCTTTGGTCACCCCTCTTGCATGACATTGGCTTACTGCAATGCATTTTCCTATTACTTCTTTCATGTACAAATTACTTTAAGTCTTGAGTTTGTGTGTGTTGTAGTAACGTACTCAGCCTTGCTCTTTGCTGCCCTCTAGGGGTGGGCGAGCTCAAAGTGTGGCTGCGCTCTGAAGGGAAGAACACAGAGTTACTGAGCACCAGTCAAACCGGGGGGTCCTGGAAACGCTTCGACATCGACATCATCTCCACTAAAGAATATCAGGTCTGTGTCCAAAAACTACTCTTCATACTATATTACACTATATATTACACTACTTTCTGATTGTGTTTCCTCGTCAGAAACATATCAGGAGTTGTGGTTTGTTTTGTGTTTTACCAGACCCAAACAAATCCTTCATATTTAGACTGAGTTCTTCTCTCAAACTGAAAACACTCTGTTCCAGCTTGTGATGTTATGTGGTACTTCAGCTCCAGCTCCACTGTGTTTTTAAACTCAGTGCACTGTCACTAGAATCATTTGGGTAATTTCAGCTCTGGAACTCCCAGTCTGTACTGAACAAAAGGTACACGGTTGCTGTTAACTTGAAAACTGCCTCGTCAATTAAGGCTGTGCAATTAAACAAATTTTGATTTAGATTTAGATTTTGATTTGTGTGTCAAACGATCTCCAAACTCATATAATCAAGTTGAAACGATAAAGCATAACAAAGTTAATTTTGAGTTTATTGTGGTATATATTTTTTACATACATAAGTATATTTATTATTATATTTTAGATATAGAGATTGTAGAACAGCTGGACATATATTTTATTTTGGATACATTTATGGTTTATTTTGGATATATTTTGTGGATACATTTATATGCCTATGCCTTAGAAATACATTTATTTACTAAGGCATAGGCATTTTTCATATGATATCATTTTATGTTTTATACATCGTACAACTGCTCTAAGGTACATGTTTGGAGCCTATATTTATTTTCAGTTTGAAAGTTTTGCATAAATTATCAATTACAAAGTGTTTTTTGTTTTTTTTTTGAGAGAGAGAGAAATGCTGAATAAATGCATTGTGTAACTAAAAATATAATCGTTTGAATAATCGTGATTTCTGTATTGACCATAATAATCGTGATGATGATTTTTTTCCGTAATTGAGCAGCTCTAACTTCATGACATCACAAGGGTGAACGGAGTGTGTTGAGCTTTGAAGATGTAGACAGACTAATAATAAAGGGTGACTCCAACATGTGTGAATGAATCAAAACACAACTGCAGGTTTGGTTTTGAGGAGGGAGGCTTGAAGAATCTTTTTTTTAAAATATAGGATTTGTGTAAAATCCGCATTCCCCTTCACCACACTCAGATCTTATCATTTCAATTCTAAAATGATCATCAGTATAAAGATCTGCTTCTGCAAATATGGTCAATGTAGTGTTTCTTTTTGGTCACTTCCTGTTGCTGCCAGCAGAGGGCACTCACTCTCAAGTAATTAAAATCAATTCAAATGTTTAACAAAGTGGGGCTGGGCAATTAGTCAAATTGAATTCACCCCGATTAATTGAATTAATTAATCTGGGTTAAATAATCAAGATTTTGGAAAAAAAAAAAAAAAAGTGCAATCAAGGAAGTTTTCTCTTGTCTTTCTTTCTTGCAAAGCAGGATTATGGTGCAATTTCAATTAGATCTCTACACAAATATAACAGTTTACAAGTTCTTAAATAAGAGCATATGATCAGAATGAAAAGGTGAAGAGCTTTTACCATTTAAAGTCAAGCCACCACCGCTCTGACTTACTTTAAAATTGATTGATTGTTATTAAAATCTAAAAAAAAAAAAATAAAAAAAAAAGCCCAGTCCCACAACAAAGGGACATTATTTCATCAATTTAAGCTTACAATAATTTAAAACATACTGTATGTTGAGAAGTGTCCAAAAGTATAACAAAATAATTCTTCTGTATATATATTAGATTTTCATAATAAATAATAGTATGAAGTCAATGTACTTTCTATGTGATTCTTGGCTGATTAGTGATGAGTGATTCTCTGGTTTCAGATTGTACTGGAGGGCATTAAAGGCAGCACTGGGTTTGTGGCTGTAGACGACATCGAGTACACCGTGGGAGTGGACTGCACCGGGAAAGAGACGGACACACACAGTAAGATCCACGTTTATTTCACTCTCACGGTGTTTGTTCTGTGGACATGTAGACAGGTGCAGATGCCACTAGGGGGCACTAGGTGTTCAATGTAATCGCTTTACGAAATGTATTTACCTGACCAGCCAGAAACACATGCTTTGACTAAACTTCTGGAGTCATATCTGGTCTGGCCCTGATTGACAGGTGGATTAACCAATCAGAGAGACACATGCTCTGTTTGCATCAAATATAAATATAGGTGCTTATATGTAAAAAGGGGAAAAAAACAACATAAAGGACTGAGAAACAGCAAGGATCTTCTCAGAATCAACAACAGAAGCACTGAATTATTCTTCATCACAGCTAGTTCTATACTGTAAGTTCTATACTGCATTTTGTTCTGAATGTTATGGTAGTTTTCAAGAGGAGATGTTTTCTGCATTTGAGAGACGTGATACAAATTAGCGGCTGTGGTTGGATCGTTTCAAGTTTGGACAGAGGATTTTCACGCTCTATGGTCCAGCTCCAGACCCTTCTGGATTCAAACAGAATGTAGAAGGGTCAATCGGAGATGTGGCGTGGGATTGCCCCCGCTCCATCGGAGATGTGGCGTGGGATTGCCCCCGCTCCACCATCTCAGATTTGACAGAAAAACTTCTAGGAGGTTCACACACTTTCCAATAAGAAAAGTCCCAAATTTTAGCTCCCAACTCTGTATAGTATTAATCTCTGTGTCATGAAATCAGAGTGTTTTCTTAGCTTCTGAAGTGCTCTACATGTATGCGGACACCACATTTTCAAAAATTAATTTAGCTAAAATAAGACAGAACACTATCATAAATGTTGGATATGTTAAAAACAGATATCTAGTCTTTCTAAAATGGTCCATTAGCGTTGGTGGGTGCTGTCATTTTTTTGGTATAACATGGTAAAGATGGCACCAAATGTATTTTTTCCATTTTTAGCACTTAATATCTTCTAGAGTGTTCATCACAGAGGGTCTGTGTGGGAAGGTTATGTTCAATATCAAACCTCTGTCTTTGAAACTGCACTTTCCACAGTCCTTCAAAGATGCCCCCAGAATTTTTCAAGCCCCAGAAATCTGTGATAAATCAAAAGTACATGTGTAAAAGTCCAGATTCTACAAGTGCATTTGACAAATTTTAACCCTTGAACATTTGCCGACTGACCAACTCTAAATAGTTTTTAGATACAACAATCTGAAAGTGGCTCCTCGGAAAACTCTGCTCAAAACAGTTCGGGGATATTTGACAAAATATTTTTCATGACAAAATTATAAGGAGTTGGGAGCTAAAATCTGAGACTTTTTCTGTTGGAAAGTGTGTGAACCTCCTAGAATTTTTTCAGTCAAATCTGAGATGGTTGAGCAGGGTCATTGGGAGATTTGGTGTGGAATGACCCAGAAGGGACTCTCTACTCAGGCAACAAACGTAAAACACGAAATGTAACTTCATTAGGTAACACAGTAGTAACAGTAGTAATGACCATTAATATCATGATTTCTGAGGAGATATGACATGTCACCAACACCCAAAATTCCATCCAAAACACAGGGAGAATTTATGCTCAAGGAAGCTGTTGCCATCTGTTTTATGACTTTAATCATTCTGTAATTTAGCTGTGTTCTTTGTTAACATTATGGTTACTAGGTAACAGCTACAAAATTACCTCTACGTCACATCATATCTGCTGGCCCTGCCCAATCAGGAAGTATAAAACATCAACTAACTGGAAGATTGTGGAAAATAGTTGAAAAGAAATCACAAAAATACAGAAGTAGCGCTGAATCCCTTTGAACAATTTACGCTCAAAGGAATTTCTCTGGTAGATTAAACTTTCATTTAATAAAAACAGGTTTAAATTGATGATTTGTTTTTATCTATTTTCAATAAAATAGATAAATAAACACATAAAATGACCAAGGCCACAGGTAAGTTTGTAAATAAAAAGGACAGAGATGTGACTTAAATGTATAATTAAAATTTATTAAAAGACTAAAAAGGGGCAAGAACAAATTTTTTATTATTTATTCTACAAAAAGAGCCAGACAGAGGGTAAAACGATAAAATGGCCAAATTCTTAAAATCTTCTAAAATAAGGATAAAACCTTGCAGCCTCTGGGTGGACGAACCAAGTCCTGCGAACAGGACATTAATGTTACAAAAAAACAAACAAGGACGACTTGAGAGGGCAGTAGCCCCACCCAGAACAAAACAGAAAGTGCTACCATGCAATCACACCTACAGTGAGGAAAATAAGTATTTGAACACCCTGCTATTTTGCAAGTTCTCCCACTTAGAAATCATCGAGTGGTCTGAAATTTTCATCATAGGTGCATGTCCACTGTGAGAGACAGAATCTTTAAAAAAAAAAAATCACAATGTATGATTTTTTAACAATTTATTTGTATGATACAGCTGCAAATAAGTATCTGAACACCTGAGTAAATCAGTGTTAATATTTGGTACAGTAGCCTTTGTTTGCAATTACAGAGGTCAAACTGTTTCCTGTAGTTTTTCAGCAGGTTTGCACACACTGCAGGAGGGATTTTGGTCCACTCCAGATCAGTCAGGTTTCTAGGCTGTCGCTGAGAAACACGGAGTTTGAGCTCCCTCCAAAGATTTTCTATTAGGTTTAGGTCTGGAGACTGGCAGGCCACAGCAGAACCTTGATGTGCTTCTTACAGAGCCACTCCTTGGTTCTCCTGGCTGTGTGCTTCGGGTCATTGTCATGTTGGAAGACCCAGCCTCGACCCGTCTTCACTGCTCTAACTGAGGGAAGGAGGTTGTTCCCTAAAATCTTGCAATACATGGCTCCGGTCATCCTCTCCTTAATCCAGTGCAGTGGCTCTGTCCCATGTGCAGAAAAACACCCCAAAGCCTGATGCTCCCACCCCCCTGCTTCACAGGAGGGATGGTGTTCTTGGGATGGTCCTCATCATTCTTCTTCCTCCAAACACGGTTAGTGGAATTATGACCAAAAAGTTCTATTTTGGTCTCATCTGACCACATGACTCCTCTGGATCATCCAAATGGTCACTGACAAACTTAAGACGGGCCTTGACGTGTGCTGGTTTAAGCAGGGGAACCTTCTGTGCCGTGCATGATTTCAAACATGACGTCTTAGTGTATTACCAACAGTAACCTTGGAAACGGTGGTCCCAGCTCTTTTCAGGTCATTGACCAGCTCCATCTGTGTAGTTCTGGGCTGATTCCTCACCTTCCTTAGGATCACTGAGACCCCACGAGGTGAGATCTTGCATGGAGCCCCAGTCCGAGGGAGATTAACAGTCATGTTTAGCTTCTTCCATTTTCTAATGATTGCTCCAACAGTGGACCTTTTTTCACCAAGCTGCTTGGCAATTTCCCCGTAGCCCTTTCCAGCCTTGTGGAGGTGGACAGTTTTGTCTCTGGTGTCTTTGGACGGCTCTTTGGTCTTGGCCATGTTAGTAGTTGGAGTCTTACTGATTGTATGGGGTGGACAGGTGTCTTTATGCAGCTCACGACCTCAAGCAGGAACATTTGATTTAGGATCATAAATGGAGTGGGGGTGGACTTTTTAAAGGTGGACTAACAGGTCTTTGAGGGTCAGAATTCTAGCTGATAGACAGGTGTTTAAATACTTATTTGCAGCTGTATCAAACAAATAAATAGTTAAAAAATCATACATTGTGATTTCTGGATTTTTCTTTTTAGATTCTGTCTCTCACAGTGGACATGCACCTGTGATGAAAAGTTCAGACCCTCCATGATTTCTAAGTGGGAGAACTTGCAAAATAGCAGGGTGTTCAAATACTTATTTTCCTCACTGTAAATATAACTTAAAAAAACAAAGTGCAAACACAAAAGTACAGGCTAAACCCCTCCCAAGTACCACCCAGGAACTTAAACCAACTAGAACTAAAAGCTAAGAACCCAGAGACGGCAACAATAATAAAAATAAAAAATAAAAAAAAACACTTTTATTTGAAGGTGCTGTAGAGCTAAAATATGACATAACGTTTAACAAGCAATATAAAACAAAACAGTAGCAGACTAAATCCTTCAAAGTTTAATTACTCGGGGGGGGAAGGTCTGCCTCTGGTTTTCTTTAGCTCTGACAGCAGCCAGCAGAAGTCAGGCCTGAGCCTTTGCCACACGGCCTGTGTAAACCCGACCTCCGCTGGCACAGGAAGTTGGTGTCAGGTAAATCCAAACATTAAGGATTAGGGATTAGGGATGGAAGTATGGAAAATCAGATACTAATCGATACCAAAACTTGTATGGAACCTAGAGACCAGGTATCAATACAAAAAAACTCCCATTGATAGAAAAGAAGTGAATCTTTCCTGAATAGCTTGTTACCTCCTTTGTTTCATTCACACATGTTTGAGAATCATTTATTACTAGTCTCTCTAAAGCTCAAAAGCTCAAAATTCCATGTTCCAACTTGTGATGTCACATAGTTATAGTTGACAAGTTAACATAGGGTGACCAGAATTTCCAAAAAAAAAAACTGAGACATGCCGTTTTTTCTTTTTTTTTTTTTTTTTTTTTTTTTTTTTTTGGTGGTTTCTAATAATAAAATAGTGAAACAAACATGTGAGTCTGTATAGTCACATTTTCTTTGTGTTTTGGTCGTTTTTAAGCAGATTTTTTTTTGTATTTTACTTAAACAAATTACAATTTATGTCTCTCTTTACTGTTGGTAGGGATCAAATTGATCAAAAATTGAGACACCTGAGACATTTCTTATATAAAACTGAGACAAATCAATGTTTTTTCCATAAATCCATTGGGACAGGGGTCACGGGGCTCAAAATTGGGACTGTCCCGGGTAAATAGGGACGTCTTGTCACCCTAAGTTAAGAGCTACCTTTTAACTTTAGATCAAGGTCAAATTCCAGGACTGAAACAATCCAAATGATTCCAGTAAAGGTGTATGAAGTTTAAAAACACAGTGGAGCACTTTCTGTATGTGTAAGAACCTACCTGGACCATCGCATTAGTGTAATATTATGAAAGTACTATGATTTAATGTTAAAATCACATTCTATCATATAATAATATTTTATTATTATCGTGGTATCAGAATCAGTATTGAGTATCGAGTCTTTTCTTTAGTTCTGAAATCGAGTTTGAAGCATTAGTATCGTGAGCACACTCCTGTCACATCCCCTGTATCTAACTGTGTGTGTGCAGAGAAGAGACAGCCGGACGCGGGGGGCATCGCGGCGTCCGTCATCGTGGTCATCCTGCTGGTGTCCACGCTCATAGCTCTGCTGGTGTACTACCTGAGGTCCAAACGGGAGCAGATGCCTGTACCCACAGGACCAACCGGATTCTCCAACCAGTCCTACGAGCCCGACCTCTCCGTGAGTGTACCAACAAAACTCCCATGATCTCAATATCCAAACTTATAACAATCATACCATCCTTGGGATCAAATCAGTTTTTGTCAGTGAAAAAAAATGTAGAATTAAATGAGAACCCAGGATGAAGAATTTATAAATGAATGTTGCTACGTTTTACAGAAAAAAAAGTCTAATAAAAAGTACAATGGTGGTTTAAAGGTCACAGTATTAGACTAAATGAACTTTTATGAGCTTTAAGTGTTAGAATGTTGTTACCAGTGTTGGGAAGGTTACTTTTAAAATGTATTCCCCTACAGATTACAGATTACATACCCCAAAATGTAGTTTGTAACGGAATCCATTAAATTACTTAAAGTGAGTAATGTAATCTGAATACTTTGGATTACTTGGTTTGCTGTAGAGAAGCAAAGACGAGGAAATCTTCACATAAGAAGTTTTGTCTGATAAAAGACAAAGAAAAGACGAGTCTTTACTTAACCAAATTTTAAATATTATTGATAGAAGACGAGGAGACACGGTCCGCGCAGTCCTGTTAGTCCTGTTAAATCCTGGTTTAGACCTGGTTTTAGTCCTGGTTTTAGTCCTGGTTTAGACCTGGTTTTACACCTGGTTTAGACCTGGTTTTAGACTTGGTTTTAGACCTGGTTTAGTCCTGGTTTAGACCTGGTTTTAGTCCTGGTTTAGACCTGGTTTAGACCTGGTTTTAGACCTGGTTTTAGACCTGGTTTTAGACCTGGTTTTAGACCTGGTTTTAGTCCTGGTTTAGACCTGGTTTAGACCTGGTTTAGACCTGGTTTTAGACCTGGTTTTAGTCCTGGTTTTAGTCCTGGTTTTAGTCCTGGTTTTAGTCCTGGTTTTAGTCCTGGTTTTAGACCTGGTTTTAGTCCTGGTTTTAGTCCTGGTTTTAGACCTGGTTTAGTGTCCGGCAATGAGTGGAATTATGAAATATTTAAAGATAAATATAAAGATTTAGCCCAAAATGTAAAAACAGGAAAATAGTGTAATCCATTTATTTCAACAAAGTAACTGTAATCCAATTACCACTCACTGAAACAGTAACTGTAACTGAATACACTTACTCATAATTTGTACTCTGATTACATAACTCCAGTACATGTAATCTGTTACTCCCCAACACTGGTTGTTACCTCCTTTGTTTATTCACACATTTGAGTTCTATTGAACGCACCTGAATATACACCACATCAGCTAAATTGAACTACATTTTTAAATTGTACATATATCGACCACACCTGAATATAAGCCGCAGGTGTTCACGTCTACAAGAATGTTTTCAAGTTGGGGCCGTCTGCTTTTATCGCCTCTGAAAGCGTTTGTTGTCTTTTTGCATTGAGTTTCCGGACTGTTCCTTTAATGTGTTGTGGTCGTTACCATCGCGTTGTAGTGGGTGCACTTCCCGGACTCGAATGCCAAATGTCTCTCCCCATTTCTTGCTCTGGAGCATAACGCATAACGGTCCCACACACTTCCTGTCCCATTCATTTCCCCATAGACTTTTCGATAACTCTAAATATTAAGAGTTTAAAGACACGATGGAGCTACGTCAGACCTGGGCATCGTCCAACTCCCAGGCCACACTTTTGGTTGACTTTGACCGGCCTGTTTAAGCTCATTTGGAATTACAGAATAAACATATTTTATCCTTTTACCTCATGCATGGACTAAAGCTGAAAGTCTTTTACTTTAGAAGCATTTTTGTTCGGCAGCCTCACTTTTTCATTGTTTAGTCATAATATAACCTCTTACCAGTCTGAGCAGCTCGTCAAAACAATGATTTTTACTGTTTTTTATAAAGAAGTACAATTAATATTATGCAGAATTGAGCATTTTGGCCTCCACAATATTTTCTGTTTCTCATGTGGCCCCATGGAAAAAAGAATTGCCCACCCCTGAGCTATGTGCTGATTAATATCCAAAATGCTGTTGTTTTAAGTCCAGAAAGCACATGTAAAATGAAAGATTTAGAAATATTTTTTTATAACTTTTTTTTTTTTTTTAAGTTTCAGAAATCAATTTTAAATGTTGTATTCATCAATGTCTATGTGAAAAAAATATTGGGAAATTTACTTTTGGAACTGAGGATTGCGGGATTGTTGACAGGTGAAACACTCCACCAGGAAAAAGTTACATAATGGACCTTGAACACTATTTTCATTTGTCCCTTCTTCCTAAAATTTGTATTCTATATTCAAATTGTCTGTGTCATCCAAACAAAAATGTTATGAGTATTTTGAGGACACCACCTCGCCCAAGATGGGAAGATGATATGAAGTAGGTGGAGCGTCTTTGGTGGTTTTGATTGCGGGAAAAACGTAACGATATAGTCACGTACAGACGAGTAGAACTGGTTTGTTAAATCAGTTCACCACAGTGTTTATGTTTATGTTATGTTTCTTCAAGCTAGTTTAATTGAGTACACACAGGACACATGGACCTGAAAAATAATACAAAGCTGACACATTTTTGAATTGGGATCTAGAACACGCACTTCTCCAATATTTTACAAAGATTTGAGTCTGATCACTGAACCTCCCTAAGCTGTTTGGTGGCTGCTCATGAGGGGAAAAAAGAAAAGCAAAAATATCATAAGACACTGAAAAACATCACAGATTTCTACAGAATCAATGAGCGAAGCACTAAATTTGAAATCTGACAAATCGAGACAAGCGAGTTTCAGTCTGACTTGAGGCGTAACGGATGGAGTGGAGACCAGACTGATATCCCTGTTCAACTGAAAGCCAAAAAATTCAGTGAACTGCAAAGACATATTTGAATGCACCATTATTCAAATCAATGTGTGTATATTTGCAGGATGATCACTTGAGTGTCCCACCTGTTCAAAACCACCCGATGGCAGCTGGCTTCAACCATTTCTCAGTGAGTTTGTGCCCAGCCCTCTGAATATACCAGTAAAAGATGTTTGTGTATTCAACATCTTGGTCCCCACTTGCTTGTCTCCATGGAGATGTTATTCTTTTGCCTTGACTTCTACAGAGTATGACATTTAACTTATTTATCTCCACGAAGGCCAGAAGGCTAAGTTACTAGTTAGATCTGTGGAAAAAACAAGCCTGCTCAAAATAAAAACAAGTGCAATACCTTTAGAACCTTTGTGGTGGAGTTTCCTTCTACAGTTCTACAGTTTGGCATAAAAATGGGCTTGCCTCTCCACAGATCCGGTCCCAGTTTTATTGTGGTGTGACTCAGGCGTATAGTCTAAGCTCCTCGTTACTTTTAATTATACAAAATGCTTCACTTGCGGCCCCTGGATCAGTCTAGGCCTGATGGTATCTCCTGCTCGTCTTCATGGGAATAGATAAGTCACATCACCATGGAAACAAGTGTGTAGTGGTCGTTCTTCAAAAGAATTACATATTGCACCTTTAAATAAATGCTAGACAGATTTACTGACTGAAAATGTGAAAAACAAAACTAACTCATCAAATTAGTTTGATACAGTTTATTGCCATACTGTGGAACATTCCAAAAAGCATCTCTATGGAGACCAGCAGGTCGCAGAAAAGTGACTTAGTGTACCATTAATAAAACAGTTGCCTTCACTTACAAACACACAGTTGTAAATGTGCATATGTGTGTAATCTGTAGTACAATTAAATTTCAACAAGAAATTCATTTATATCTATAACCCCGTTTGGACAAAGCACAGTAAAAAAGAACATCCATCAATCTACTGCTGGACAATGTCAAAATATCTGTGTATGTAAATGTTTGTATAATGTCATGTACGTGTAGGTGCGTTTTGGGGTGGTCAAAAACAAACGAACGAAAGATATGGGAAGGAAATAGGAAATATGTAAATATAAATTTGATTTGACAGCCCTAAAATGTAAATACACACATGCAAACACTGCACTGAGAAACTCTGTACTACACACACTCCCCCAACCCCTCCTACCCTCCCTTTTTCTTTTTATTATTATTATTTTTGTATTATTATTATTTATTTATTTATTTTCTCTCTTCTTTTTTTTCTTTTTTTTTCCTTTCTTTGTATGCGTGTTAGTTTTATATTTGTTATGTCTGTCTTGCTGTTGATGTGCCGGGTATCCACTCCCTCAAAATTGACAAATGATAAAAAAAATTAATTAAATTTAAATAACATCTGCAGCTGGACAAAAGTACACATATTATGCCATTAAACACAATGGAATCCAGGCACTCCAAAGAAGTAAAAATCGCACGAGGAAACATTTTTGTGCAATTTTTCCTTCTTTGGAGTGTCTGGATTCTGTTGTGATTACATTTTGATCCTTTTTCCAAGAGCACCCACCACCCGCTCCCACTGACTGAACACCTGCAGCAAACAGACACAGTTCTTGTTTTCTCTGCACGTTATGCCATATTTATTTTTTTAGCTTTTTGATATGTTACAATGTTATTCCTTTATTTAAAACATATTTAGAGTAGAATTGTATTCACGCTGGTTTCAGTGATCCTCTGTAAAAAGCCTCTGAGCAGTCGCCAAAGAGGTTTGAATTTCCCCAGGATTGTTGCGTCACAGACAGAGACACTGCACTGTTTTTAAGTTTATAAATCATCGGCAGACTTTTTGTGAGCATTTCTCTCATCAAATCACACTCATTACCTCTGCATACTTACAGACGTGTTCCTCGTTACGTAGTTTAATTGTTTTTGCTGTGGTAATTCTCTCTGCTGCCAGTAGATGTCAGCTACATCAGATCAGAGTGTGGGGAGCACTGAAGCTTTTATTTCATTAGTGATCATTTGAAGTTCTTAATTGTGAAATGCCAAAGTAAGCATGTTATTTGTTCTTTAAATGTTCTTTTGTGATTCTTGTGCTTGCGGTGTGTTTGCAGGATTATGGGGACGTCGGTTCTGTGAATCGGGACTGAGCCGGTCTGAGCCGGTCTGAGCTGGTCTGTGTGTGGGTCTGGACGTGGCACCACAGTAGCAGAACTACTTGTGCCATGTGGACTGGTAGAACGCCTATGGAAACCCTGGTGGCAAGACTTGGAACTGCAGCCTTCAGTGGGTCAGATCTGAAAGAAATGGAATGGATTCTTCGGGGTGTACTGCATGGTTGTCTATGATGGAATGTTTAGCTGCTAAAATAGAAAAAAAAGAGAAATTACAAAATGGATTTAAACAGCACATATTCAGGGGCCTGTGGTCCTGTTTAGGAGTTTGATTTTCAACATAAATGGTGAGAGTGACGACGGTGATGTTATTGAGAGGGACGTTTTTAACAGCACAAATCATCACCTGTTGTAGCTCCAGCTGAGTCACTTCTTTATGGTCAGACTGTGTAAAACAAAGCTCAGATTAAAGTAAAGTTGTGTAACAGAGCTTCAAACAAAGCAGTGCCTCTAGTTATGTTGACGACATCAGCGGCAAAGTGTCAGTAGTAATGATAATAGTAATAGTAATAGTAGTGATTAGGGCTGGTATCATTAAGAAGTTGCCGATACGATAAATACCTCGATACACAGGCCACGATACGATACATATCTCGATACAGTGCACTTTCAATTCGATACGATATATTTCAAATCGATTCGATACAGTTCAATAAAAAATAAAGGCTAAATCATGGCTGTGATACTAAAAGTCTTTGTTAAACCACTTCTTGTGCAAAGTTCATATGAAACACAAACATTTTAATCCTCAAAACAGTGTCAAAATGTCAAATGTGTCGCATAAATGAGTTTCCTTTCACTCCACAAGCAACAAAACTGCACCACTGTAACAAAATAATTTAGTAAAACACATGTAAAAATACTCTTGGTGATATATCGATACAGTAGCCCACGATATCAATACTGTATCATCACATTAAACGATACGATATATCGATATTCCGATATTGATTAGGGCTGGTATCATTAAGAAGTTGCCAATACGATACATATCTCAATACATAGGCCACGATACGATACACATCTCAATACAGTGCACTTTCGATTCAAAACGATATATTTCAAATCAATTTGGTAGGATTCAATAAAATTAACGGCTAAATCGTGGCTCTGATACTAAAAGTCTTTGTTAAATCCCAAAAAAAGTGCAAAAGTTAATTTGAAACACAAACATTTTAATCATCAAAACAATGGAAAAGTCAAATGTGTCAAAACTGTAGCTCTGTAACAAAATAATTTAGTAAAATATACCAAAAAATACTCTTGGTGATATATCGATACAGTAGCCCACGATATCGATACTGTATCGTCACATTAAATGATACGATATATCGATATTTAGATATTTTTGCACACCCCTAGTAGTGATCTAAAGTGGAATATAATGGTGCAAGGTTCTTTATTATTTGGAGGATCTATACACTTCTGAAAAATGTTTATAAAAAGTCTATTCTAAAACAAATTGACATAAATTGACAAATTTTGACACTTAAATGTCGAGGAGGCGGTGGTGCAGAGATCAGTTCACTCGCCTCACAGCCAGAAGATCCCAGGTTTGATTCCCAGAAAATGATGAAAAATTATGTCCATTTTGTTTTATTTTGAATGTTCTCCCTGTGTCTTTTCCATACATTTTTGTGGTAATTAATTTGTGGTTAATTTCCAAAGCATGTGCAATAAAAATACAAAAAAAAATAAAAAATTTAAATAAACATGTACCGGTATATATTTAATTTTTTTATTTTTATTTTATTTTTTGTAAAGGTAGGTCTTATATTTAAATGATCTTTGGGACCAACAATGATTCAGCTGAGAACTTGCAATTTGCTGGTTCAAATCCCGCTGATGCTGGTGTCCTTGAGCAAGACACTTCCCTCACAATGTCCACTTGTGACAGGAAGGGCATCTGTTTTAAAAATCTAAAGGAAAAGGGAGCAGCTCAATGAAAGAAAAAATGATTTCACCTTCCTTTTACGCATCATACTGAGGACTTTCCCCCATTCAACAGATACAATATTTTGCTATTGTTAATCGCTATGGTAACAGTCTTTCTCATCATTCTCAAACCCATGGATGTTTTTTAGTTCACCCTACATAAGAAAGCTGACGAAGAGAGATTTTTTTTTAACAATGAGCTTTGATTTGAGCCGCGTGATTGGCCGCCTTCACTGCCGAGGAGATGCTGAGGAGTCGCCCTTAGCAACCGAGGCGTCTCTACGGCAACGTGCTCTCCCCTTCCTCTCTCCCCTTTCTCTTGTCGCTCTCTCATCTTTCCGCCGCCGCAGAGACCGGAGCCGGGAGCACAGGGAGGGCGAAGCGGAGGAGACCGTGACCGGGCTGGGGCAGATTGGCGCATGGACCCCGGGGTGCTGATCTTCCTCCTGTACGTGATGATCGCGCACGAGCTGGTGTGTGGCTGGGTGCAGTACAGGAAGCAGAGCGGGAGGGGACGCGCACGGACCGGACCCCCGCCCAGGAGCAGGTAACCGGGTCTTAGTCTTAAAGTGTCCATATTATGTTGTTTTCTGAGCTGTGTTCTAATGTAGTTTCCTCATCACAGACAGACTGGAGTTGTGTTTTGTTTCATTCACACAGAAAAGCTGCATATTTAGACTGAGTTCTTCTCTCAAACTGAAAACACTCTGTTCCACTTTGTGATGTCATGTGGTAATACAGGAAGTGCTCCACAGTGTTTTTTAAACTCCATACACCTTCACTAGAATCGTTTGGTTAATTTCAGCCCTGGAAATGTCAATCTCTACTAAATGTAAACGTTAAAGGTAGACACTAAGTTGAAAAATACCACTTCATGACATCACAAGGTGGAACAGAGCATTTTAAACTTTGGAGATGTAGACAGACTCATTATAATAGAGTTACTCAAACATGTGTGAATGAAACAAAACACAACTCCAGGTCTGTTTTTGATGAGAATCCGAGTATCATTTGTTCGTTTGTTTTTCAAAATAAAACCAAAAATAAGAAAACAAAAAAACAAGTTTTCTTCATTATTTGTCTCCAAAACCAAAATTAAAAAAACAGATAACATTTTTGATTTTGTCTTTAAATGAATAATGGAAAAAATGGATAATGGACGTTTCCTGTTTCCATGACTTAAACTGTGATGCCGAACTTTTGCGCCACGTACGGACTAAACCAGGTCCGACCAGACTGAAACCAGATCAAGACTGAGACCTAGACTGAGACCTGGACCCCACTGCTACTGAGACCAGGACCAGGCCATGACTGCGCCCGGGACTGAGACAGACCCGGACCAGAGACTGGGACCAGACCAGGACTGAAAATGGTTTAGTCCTGGTTTAGTCCTGTTTAAGTTCTGGTCCAGTCTGTATTCAGCGCAAAAGTCCGGCATCACAGTTTAACTCCCAAAAACAGGAAACGGTCGTTATCCTTTTTTTTTTTCTCCATTATTCATTTAAACACAAAATCAAAAACTCAAAAAGCGAATCATTATCTGTTTTCTCATTTTGGTTTTGGAGACAAATAATGAAGAAAATTGTTGTTTTTTCGTTTTAAATTGAAAAACGAGTGAATGAATGATACACAGATGGATGAGGTAACACTATAACATAACTAAAAGCTCACGAGGATCCATTTTATGTAATATAGGACCTTTAATAAAGCATGATCTAAGAAGACTTCATTCATAATGTATAGTTTAGCAGCATTTTTTTTTCTTTTCTTTAATTGGAATGCCCCTTGAGATGTGCTGACTCGTTTTCAAGGGGGTCCAAAAAACACCAAATGTTAGAAATACACAGCACAATGGACAAAATACACACATATATCCAATCAACTTTATTTCTATAGTACATTTCATAAACAATTTTCAAAGCACTGCACAGATACATAGTAATAACAACAATAATAATGTAATGAAAAAATAAAAGCTCAGATTTAATCATACTAGTCTTAAAACAATAAAACCAGTAAAATAAAATAAGAGCAAAACTACAGAATAGCAATAAATATATAAAATAAATCAAAAATCAATGAAAGTGGAGCACACAATTATCACAGTGTTAAAAGCCAGAGACTAAAATTGGGTATTAAGATGAGACTTAAAACTCTTCACTGTAGGGCTGTTCTAGAGTTTGGGGTCGGTCACAGAGTAGGTCCTGTCCCCCTGGTTTTAAGTCTGGTCTTAGGCCCTACGAGCTGGAGCTGGACCTCAGACTTCAGAGCACACGAGGATGTAAATTTGGAGGATGGCAGAGACATACTGTGGGGCCAGTCCATTCAGAGCTTTAAAAACAAACTATAAAATCTTAAAATCAATTCTAAAATGAAAAGGAAGCCAGTGCAAAGACGTAAAAGTTGGAATAATGTGCTCTCTTCTTTTGGTTCCTGTTAAAAGTCGTGCCGCAGAGTTTTGGACTCACTGTCATCGGTAAAGTGCGTTTTGTGAGATGCCAGAATAAAGTTCATTACAGAAGTCCAGGCGTGATGAAATAAAAGTGTGCACAACTTGTTCAAATCTATCTCTTTGTCAAATTTAAAAACACTGTCCAAGGTTGGTGACTGTGGGGCGCACATCATTTTTGAGGGGTCCCCATGAGGTTACTACCAGATGCAAAGCAGAGGTGGGACCAAGTCGTTGTTTTGCAAGTCTAAAGTCTTTGACCTCAGTTCCAATTCCCAAGTCAAATACAGACAAGTCCAAGTTGAGTCTCGAGTCACTGGCCCATGAGTCCAAGTCCAGTCCAAGTCATCTGCTTTGAGCTTCAAGTCATTTCAATTGTTATGTCCCCTATGTCCGACAAGCGACAACAAGTATAAAACAATCCTTAAGGCAAAGTAGGTCTGGCAGTTTTTATTTTTGGGCCAGACATTCACCAATACGTGCACAGAAAACAAACAAACCAAAGGTTGGTGGGACGAGGCGTGTGCCAGTTGTGCCAAATAAACAAACCAAAAAATATAACAAAACTAACAAAGTAAATCTATGCAAAGTG